TTTGAATGAGATTTAACAAACTTTAAAAAATAACTTATTTGGCTATTCACTGCAAAACAGATTAGGTACAATGGCAATGGCATAAGACAAGAACGGTATACAACCATGGTGGAAAAGGTCGCACCTATCCCTTGGCCCAAAAAAAGGTGGGCAGGTTTTGGTCAACCCGTTGCAACCACTTGCCATAACTCGTAGAAACTTATTAAACCCATTCAGTTTCATACAGGCAGCAGTACAAAGCGCAAACAGACGTCGGTCGATCGGTACAGTGCTCCATCCCACTCTCTACTACCTCCTCCTCATCTTCAACCCTCTTTACATACCTTCTGACCCCGATCCCATTTCACCTTACCCACTACTACTTGGCACATTCAATCTCAATTTCGAAGATGCACAAACCTCCCTCCTCAAACAGTTTCACACTGCAGCAAACAGAAATGGCCAACACAACTCAAACATCCAACATGTCCAAAAGGAGCCACTGTTCCTCACTATGAAGAAGTGTGCGCCGCTATTGTCCAAAGTAAGCCGCGATCAAGAACAACTTTCAGTCGTGCCTCGTGTGAGTGCTGAAACAACTCGTTTCCGCCCACACCAACCGGTAAGGGAACGACGTAAAAGTAAATGGATCCCATCACCATTTCACGCGTCAACAAATGACAGTACACTTTCAACACTACCACTTCCCACTTCATTTCACCCACTACTATGCAGACTGCTTGCCTGCTGCTTGACCAACCAGCTTACCTACCACGAGGAGTGGTTCCTGCGCTCTTATCCTCCAACCTTCGTCAAGCCAACGCACACACCACCGACTGCTCTCTCCTAACTATCTACTCACCACCCACCACACACCACCCATCCCACACTCTCGGGGCACCACTTCGTCCCCAGAAGACTATGCCCACCCTCCCCCCAGCCTGTGTGTGGTACAATGCGAACGCGTTTGCTCATAACACCTTTCTTCCTGAAGCCCAAACAAATACCGTGGACCCAGCCAGCCAGTCAGTGGGAGGAATCACACTTGCCAAGCAATGCACGACCTCGTACCTCACCACCACTAAGCGCACACGCTAGAAGACTTGCACTGCAGTTTGGCTTTGAAGGCAGGGAGTTACTGCCCCATCCTAACTTCATCCTCATCCTCATTCTCCGTGATCCCCCTATAGTCCTCCGAACGATGACCATCACCTTTTTCCCCGCATTACACTTCAGCACAAAATAAGTAGCTCGGAGGTTGCAGGAGCTAGTTTTTTTGCCTCTAGAGATAAATCGACTTTCGAAAGTGAAACTTGAAATTATCTCTTGCAGAGAAAGGATCATAGGTTATCATATTGACTACTTTAAAGGAAAAAAAATTTGAGTAGCTTTCTGAAGTTCTTTAGTCCTCATTATAAACAACGAACGGCCTTATTCATTAGCCCTACGCAATATCACGGGGACTCTACTTGCTTTCACAAAAAAACGAGAGTGAAAAGTCACTCGTTTCCAACACCAAAACATACATAAAAAACGCGAGTTCATTAGTTATGCAAAGAAATATGGTACAAGGAAAATAACTTCCTGCGTCATAACAAGTTACACGAAGATTTCGTTACAGCTAACTTGACGTCATCCACCTCAATTAGTCAGCCTGCAATGACAGAGGTTTGCTAGCATTCTATCTCTTAAACTAAACGGAAGGTCCCATCGTCTGATACAGAGCTTAGATGGCCCAAAACCGACTCTTACAAATATCCCAGACTTCTAAAATGAGACAACAGCTCCGGGGTAGAAAAGAGCGAAATAACATACCTGCCATGGTGGGATCAGCCTGGAGACCGTGTCCGCCGACTTCGTACATCTCGGCGAGGCGGGCCAGCAGACGATGGACAGGCGAGAGATCCTCCGCAGAGTCATAGTTACCTTCGGCGTCGCAGCCTTCGTCGGCATCGCAGGCACTACCAGGGACGGCGAAACCAGCGTTCTCAATGGCTTTACGGTACCACGACATTGCTTCTGCCCATGGCCGACCCGCGGAACCTGTGGGGACAGGAAAGCCGCGGTGCGAAGAGAGAAGAACGAGAAAGTCGTCCACTGGTGTGGTGCGCAGGTTCAGCGCTTCCCGAATCGCCGCCCGATCCACCAAAGGTGGTGCCCCTGAGCTGGTCCCACCGAACACCACTGAGGCGTCCATATAACGAGCAAGGAGAATCATGCAACGGCGGTCACCGCCCATCGACGACCGCCACAAGTAATCGACGCCCAGACTGAGATCCTCCTCACAGGGCTAGAGCGTAGCAAGTAATCGCAAAACTCACCGCCAAAGAGAGGGTGAACAAATGAGCCAATTAGTTTAACGAGACTAATTTACCTTAATGGGACAGTCGGAAAGAAGTTGTGTAGGAAGGCCGAGGTAGTAATGAGCCATGACGATAAGAGCCTCGAGGCATCCCAATTGAGCGGCGAGACACTCGTGAAACAGGACTGACTCCCAATCGATCGACGTTACCGGATCTACTTCGTTTGGTTCTAAGTTATCGCCCAGCGGTAGAGCACCAAGTCCGTTCTGTGACCAGCCTCCAATGTGTCGTTTGACGAACCTGCTAGCTTCATGTAGACGGGCAAGTTCGTGATGTAACTGCCCCAAAATCGACTGACCGATCTCTTGATCCAGATTAGAGGGATGAGTTGCGGAAGTGGGCTTGTGCGTTTCACGAATGGTCTGGTGCAGAAGACTTCCGACGGTTGCGGCCGCCAAGTCGTTGTCTACATCAGAAGACTCGCTAATATTTCGCGTTCTCCGCCCCCGAGGACGGAATGGCGCCATACCCCCTTCATCTTCCCAGCTAAAACCCGAATCGACATCAAATGCGGAATCAGGAAGAAGGGGTGAGTCAGTGTCAACGCATTCTGTGCTGTTTGGGAAGTGACCCCTGGGAACTTGAGCCTTCGTATCGACCGCTGGAGGTGCGTGGTGAGTCAGCTCGGTGGCGGTAGAACCACTGAAGGTGCGAAAGCGACGACGGATGCAAAACTCCTCATCTTTAGCCACGGTAGGACCATAAAAATGCCTAGCACTCGATCGGTAGCAGGTGGAAAGGGAAGGAGAGGGCGAAAAACCGAGTGGAATCATGCCGTAAGAGAGAGACCGCTTTCGAACTTGCAGATGTAAAGATGCGTCACTATCAGTAGGGGGTGACGCCAGATAAGTATCATTCGGATGGGGAAACAGTCTGTTCGCAGAAGGCTAAAAACCACACATTACAAACTAGTAAATCATGCAGAGGAGTCTAAATAGAAGAAGACAAAGCTCACTGAAGTGCACTCGGGTGCCCCAAAATCCTCGAAATCATCAATATCCACCTCAAATTGGTTAGGTTCACCTTCAGCATCCAAACCGAGGCCCACATCACCGTCATAGAGTTCTTTAACCTCGTTCTCAGAGAGGTCGAACGGAGCTAGACCGAGGTAATTACAAAGGGGGTTACATCGATGGGAATGGAAGAACAGTGCCATGCCTCGAAGACCCAAATTTCCATCATTGTAGCCAAGACCGTCGGCGGTGTGGATCTGGGGGTCGGTATAGAGATCGCCTACACCTTGAATATCCACGACCAGCAGACGATGACCAGAATGTTCGAAAGTGAAGTGGCTAAAGGCCTACGGATTCACAAGGGGAGTGTAAACAGGTAAGAGCGTTAGAAAAACAAGGGCTAAGAAATGGTTATCAGAGACGCTTTGATTTACAATTCCAAAGGATGAGATGGACCATCAAGGGAAGGAAACAAAGGGTAACCTAATAATAATTTTATGGATCATTTGAACACGTTTAGGTCACAACAAGTATTGAGTAAAGATATACTGAAAATTCGATTATGAATCTTACGTATATCCAGATAACTTATACAACCTCAAGGAGTGCACACAAAATCAGAAACTAATTTCCTTCACAATTAAATTAGAACTGTAGGAGATATAATCGTCGATGAATACTTGAAACTAAGAGCATTACTAGCCTATTCTATAATTCTCACAAATGCTACAAACAAAAAGCATGTGAATACCTTAACAAAATGAGAGCTCACCAAGAAAAAACTAGCTGGTTTATTTTCCTTTACGTAGTTAAGGCTTATGACAGTAAACCCATCCACCTGTGGACCGTAGAAAACATGGAATCTTGGAACAGAAAATAGACAAGCTGCTCACTTGTGGTGTGTTCCTAGGCTGACCGTCAACAAACCCTGAGTTGGAGTTGTACTTGCGATACTCTCCATCCATGTAACGTTCGATGTGGTAGAACTGAGAGGATTGAGTTTTCCGCTGTACTGAGGGCAGACTCATCGTCGTGATGGATCCACGTCGCTTGGAGTCACAAATCGGTAAAGGACTATCCGGATTCTCCAGAAGGATTTCTATCACGGACATCTGAAACACGTCCACCTTCGAGGGACAAAAATAAGGAATTAGACAAAAGTGGGTGAAAAAAGTCATAGACAAAGAGAGCACCTTTTTGGGTGGATTCTGTTTGTTGAAGGCTTCGGCCCACAATTTTGCCTCCATTTGTAAGCGCACATCGTCTAAGTAGACTGAGCTGCTAACAGGAGTAATATATCGTTTAGCAACGTAATTTGACGCTGCGCTCCAGTCACCATTGTCAGGTAGTTTTTTCCTGTAGGAAAGAAAGATACGAAATTGAGGATTCCGACAGCTTGAGAGCACTTTAAATAATGACTATAAATGCATCTAAGTCATGCGAAACTGACGGATGAAGTTTTGAGAAAAGTTAATGTTTCGCCTTATAACAAATCAAAATTTACAATCTGAAGCATTCTCTCATGGCGCCTCGATTGAAGGCTTTTTCTTCAAGTTTAACTAGTATGTTGTCTTTAATCCATTTCTTTTTAAGTGCACTATATCGATGACGGACGGCGGCAATCGTTGGTGTCGACTTCAAATCGAAATCGCTCCATGGGTCCAGCTTTGCCGCACGGGTGCGAACCTTTTGCAAGGCTGACTGCCATAACTTAGCACCTTAATGTGTAAAAGAAATATTCAACATTTGAAGGAAGATGAGAAGCAGAAACAATGCGTAGCCTACCTGGAGAGTGGGCAGCCTCCTGACCTGGCCGACATGCACTGGTTGACAACGAATGCGTATTCGAGTATTTTACTTTTGTAACTCGTGAGGCAGAAGAAAAGTTGGCTTCCATTTAGCGATAGAGCAAAATTGATTTTGTAGGAAAAGTAAACCGAACATCTGTCAACTTTTAGACCTATTAATAACCACCTCTTAACCACTCTTGATATTGTGGAAATCCAAGAGCGAGATTTCGTCCAAAAGACAATAGAATAAGGTACAACAAATCAGTGGTGCGAGAGATAGCCAATAGTCCACGACGTGGGCTAACTTTGCGATAAAATGAGTATTTCAACAGGTAATTGGCTAAGATCAGGGTAGGACATTTGGCTGAGAGCCATATGCGACATAGTAACGTTTATGAATTCGAGGCATACAAGTAAGGGATTACGTGCGTAACCCGCAACTCTTTGAAAAGAATGGGAAACATTAAATACATTTTGCAAATTAAGGTACTTAAGCATGCTGGAGTATGTGCGCATGTTTTAAAATGAGAACAACTGAAAGCGTGATGTTGCATAGACATAAAAAGATGGGAAATTAAGCTAACCAAGAAAGAGTGATCAAAATCTACATTGTAAACGGCACAATAAATATACCGAAACCATATTGGCAAACTTACTGATAAAACATGGGTGAAGGTTGATAAAATAAACGTCAGCAAACTGGTTACTTAGAAAAATTGTAACAGCAAGGGCCAACAAAGTTTTAAGAACGAGTCGCGCTACTTAGGTGTCTACTGCAACGACCACAATAGGCCAAAAAGGGGGAAGATTATGTGGCAACAAACTGTAGAGAGCTGGGCTTCCACCACCATAACCCGAATACCATGCTTTAGAACAGACTCACAGTACATTGGGGCTGAGTTGTCTACGCAGGCAAACATACAATTGAAAATGATATTGATACACTACGTTGGTCTTCACCACTCCTTGGACAATGTCTTGTATCGGCCACAACAGTGTAGCTGGTACTGACAAAGACCCGTGAACCAGCGCCAGTTACTGTATTTTTCTACGTGTGAGAAGTCATCCACCCTCATCATTGTCACCGATGCATCCCACCAATCTCCTCATAACGAGAGCTTTATCCCATTAGTGAGCTGTGTTGGGGAAGACAAATGCACTGGTTTCACACTGTTCTATACTGAGTGATGCTTTGCACCCAGGGCATGTCCTAGGCCAATTGCTAGCCATGAGAGAAATTCCTGAAGAGCAGGGCCTTTAACTAAAATATTAACTTAAAAAGCATTACAAGAGCCGTGTGCCGTATCCATTCTTTCCCACCACATTGTTCAAAGTCCGTCACGGCTCAGCCTTTTATTTAGATTCTACTCAATTAGTAGAGATACATAGGATATATCACTTTTCAGGTAGGTAGCGAAGGCAAATAAGCGGACTTTTTCAAATGGTTCAATCAGGTGTCGCCTTTTCTTAGGCGTCAGCACAGGCGCATCTGTAATACGATAGTGGTTTAGCCCTCGGCATTGGTGAGGCGCCACTTTTGGTACTTTGAATTAACCCCCTTGTACCTCGCTGGGTGGGCTGGCCTTTTGGGCCACAGTGTAGTGTAACCTACCTTTCCCAACGTCGAATAAAACAAAATTGACATGGAAGAGAAAATATTAGTAACGAAGAAGAGGATCAAGAGGCGACTAGCACAGTGCAAGGGCTATGTCACGGAGCAAGAGTACGACTTGTGGACACAACAGTGCCTGCTTGATCAAATGAGCGCTTGGACAAAATATGTGCGTAATAAGGATGGCACCTGCATCACACCCACTGTGATGCTTTTTGAAAAAGAAGAAAATATACCTTGATTTTACTAATAGCAATAATGAGCATTCACGAGTGTTAATTGCTTCTCTGTACGCAAAGGGTCCATTTAGTGTGCATTGTGTTATGAATGGACTACTTCGACATGCTTTTTTTATATTTTGTTGTGAGCCAGAATATTAAATAAAGTTATTTAGCCTTCAATTGTGAGATGTTTATTGCCCTATTTATAAATATTATCGAAACTGTAATATTCCAACAACCCTGTTTTTGTTTGTATCATTGACGGAATAGATACGTCTATCTTGCGCAAAAAGAAATATACCAAACACCGTTGCCATGTCTGAAGCCATTAAGGCTCCTCGAATGTTCACACCTTGTGAATGGCTATGCTCAAATAGAATCAAACACAGTGAAGCTGATGCTGCTCGAGAGTCTGCCCAAAATGTGGCTTTTGAAAATGAAGCGTTGATGAACGAAATAAAGGATCGCACCATTAAAACTATGCAGGACGTTGATGAGAAATTAGGTAACGCATATGACACCGTATACTTTGTTAAACAGATCAGCGAATAACAGATATATCATTTTGGATGAGTGAACTGACGAAGAAAATTAAGGACAATGCAAATGAATCCGACAAACTGATTTCTTGCATTGTTCGCTTGAAAAAGGCACTAGAAGCCACAACAGAACCACTGTATTTATCTGAGAAGTGTATCACCATAAGGTAGTGGCAAAAACTTTGTTATCTTGCAGACAAGCTCGAAAGGGTTCTGACTTCGTAGCTGATAATGCACACAATGAACTTGTGAAAGAAATTGCTGTATTTAATGGAGTACGTGCATTACTGACTCGCGGAATAGAACAAACGGAAGAGCAGCTGAGGTATATGGTATGTGAAACATAAGAAGTACTAGGCTCAACCGGAAATCGGCATTCAATTTGAAGTCGGATTTTCGTGGAAAAGAAACAGCTAAGAATCGAGATGAGTACGCAAAAACAATTTCGACCTACGACAATATCCCAGAGGTTACAAAGTGTTACCCGGCTCCCGTTTCGTAAGACATTTACAATGCGCCTGAGTTCTGTAGTTCATGCAGTATGGATGAGTGGCTCCTTCAATTAAAGAAGAATCTTGAGGAGGCAGACCGACAAATTCAAAACTCCCGCCAGACACGTAGCCTTGTTGAGGGTGTTCTGATACAAGTATTTGAGGACCAGAAAGAGCAAGTAGATGCAACAAATCGAGCCATCCAAATTCGGGTTGGTGAGACACGCGACGCTAAACGCAAGCTGGAAGAACACCTTTCCTTGGTTCACCTTAAAATAATAATGCCTAAACTAATTGTAGATATTCAAAGAGATACCCAACATGGAGGATAACATTCGCGATATTAAAAAGTTGATCTGTGACACCTTAAAATCCGCCGAAATAACGGAGACAAAGACGAACATAAGAGATTGCAGACCGTTGAATGAGCTCTGTAGAGATGCCCCACATTACAGGTACGACCGAAGTAACTCGCAGGCAGTAAAATACAGACAATATGTAATAACCATCTACTTTTCCTTAGAATGCTTAAACAAATTGAGGAACTAAAAACGGACATATCGACACTTCGGCAAATGCTTCATGATGCAGAGGAAGAATTGAAGGCGCTCCGTAGAAGGCAACTTGACCTCGAGGAAGAGATACAGAACAAAACAAACTCACTTCACATTGAAGAGGTTAGAATTCTGGAAATACGATCAAGCATCTCGATCGAAAAGTTCTAATAGTTATCAAACTACACAACCTTCAGTCCCAGCGCTTAAGATTTTCCACAGGTGGCACAATGATATAACAAATTCATTAAAAAACAGACACTCCAAACATTTTATACATGAAGTTTGAATTGCGTGAGGTCTACCAAAACTCGGTAAAAACATTACAAGGGTGCTTAGTCATCATTATCGTCCTTAAGACTTCCAAAGACAGCAGAAGGAACCGGCTGCTTTTCGATCCGAAGACCTGGAAAAAGACAGATTACTTAACTTGTGTACACTTAAGGATGCACCGAATTATAAAGGCAACTTACGAGACTTTGAGCCGTCTTCCCGGTCTTCGAGTATTCTCGCCTCTTCTCCCTCTGCCTCCATTCCTTCGCTATCCTCATCTTCATTGTCCACTGGTAAATCAATGTCAATGGCCTCTGGATTGCTAAGGGCAGTTCCACTCATAACTCCACCACCGCTACCATCTTCGGAGCCTACCTGACTGACAACGCCAGCTGATTTAAAAACAATTAGTGGTCGTTTGGCTACAGAGGTCTCCTCTGTTGTGATGGCCGACTCGACTGCTTGCATTGGGTTCTCGGCTAAAGGGAAAGTGGCGTTTTGAAGATAGTTAATCGACACTACAGATGGTAGAAGAAGGCACTTACCCCGCTCTTTTGTAGCAGCTAGATGACTTGCCATGAAGCTTACTTTTGTGTTATAAGTAGCCTGCACACTGCGCTTGATACGAAGCATTTCGCGCAGTGTATCCTCATTTCCATGAGCTAGCTCAAATTCCTTCCAAATTTTCCAAAATTCCGGCTCTGTCTGCAAAACAAGAGAAAAAATGTACCGACTCATAGACATTACTCACATGGACGGCCAGGACGTAGGGACGCCTACTCGGGGATCACACATTTGAGCAGCATAAGCGTAAACAGCACGTGCGCGGTCAACTTCACCCAATTTCCTCTCCAAATCAGCGAAACGGAGGCACATTTGGCGAGCGTGCTTCTCTGGTAGCCTTTCGATGGCTTGCTCGTAGGCTGCCCGTGTATGGGTTACGCCGTGAAGATCTGCGATGCGCTGGATGTAGATATTGAACATCTACAGAGCCCAGAGCAATAATAAGGCTATAGCTTTACCACAAGTAAATCGCGTAGCAAAAACGCCAAATAAAAACTCACAGTGAATCGCTCCTCCGGTTCAACTGCTTCGGTTGCACGCTCATAAATCTTGATTGCGCGTCGAGCCAGACCATGATCTTCTTCAAGTTTTGCGTACAAGAGGTATAATTCTAGATCGAGAAGAGCATTTGGCCGATCTACCAGTTTTATTTTGCAAGTCCAACCCCACTAGGATAAACCTAAAGTTGCGTTTAAATGCCCAGATCCCAACAGAAGCGGGACGGACGATCAAAAATATGAATACGACCCAACAATTTAAAAAAAACTGTTAAAAAATAGCAATCCGAACAATTAAAAACTCACGCTTAGCAAACTCAGAAGGACATTTTTCAAGGCATTGTTCAAATAGATCTCGAGCACGTTCTAATTTGCTCCCTCCCTAAGGACATACAATATGCTCCATTAAAGGGAAAGGACATGTGTTTGCCATTTAACAACAAATGATGTTACAAACCTAACCAAGAGCGCAATCAAGAATATTATGTAAGAAATGAAGCAAATAGGCAAGCGACAATCGAAAACAGAGGCGGATTAATGCTTTGATGCAATAATTATGGGAAAGAGTGACTTTTACTTACATAGCGCTCCATGAAGTTTGTGAGATACGTCGCCCAAATATCAAAAACGTTTGGCCATCGGAAGATGGCGACTCCCTTTTCGTAGGCCTACAACGCCAAAGATGCATCAAAAACAGAGATGATGTAGTGTTTAGAGAGGGGGAAAACCATAATCTCACCTTGAAGGCCTCTTCAAAGTAGTTGTGCTCTTCCAGGAAAAGACCATAGTTCATTATAATTTGTGGCGTAGCGATCCGATAATCGATCATACGGTCGTAAGCAGCCTAAAAACGGACAAAAAATTAACTACCGCAGTAGTATACAGCTAGAAAAATCAGTATGAACGTATACAAGGCAGACGAGGTAGCATAAGAGTAAAAACCAACCTTTGTGGTTTGGAAGGTACCGAAACTCTCCTCTAGGTCGGTGTACAAGGTCCAAAGCCGTATAGACTTGTGAAGGCGATTTTGAACCGGTTCTGAGCGATCGTAGTAGTCAACCTTGTGTGAAGCCACCGGAGTTACAGCTCGCGCGAGCAGTTGAAGAGCGGTTTCGACTTCACTACAGGATCACCCAACACGAGCAGATTATTCCAGAGAATGTAATGAAACGGTGAGGTTAATGTGAAAACCCCAAACAATGCGACGTGTTCTTTTTTAACTCCCTCCAAGCTCACCCATGACGAATTTCCATTTCAGCCCATTCACACCAAATGGAGGCCAAGTCCTCAACATGGATAAAACCGACCCCAGTTGCTTTCTGCAGAACCATCCTGGCGTCCGACAACTGATTATGCTTTTCGTAGAGACGTGCCAGTTCTATCCACAAAGTTGATGGTCGACCAGCTGTTGCTTTGGCTGTTTTTAAAACACGTAACCAATGATTATGCTGTGCTGGTATTTTGAAGTAGAAGATTAGGAGCGGATGAACCAACCCGGATCTACTGAGCTGATACCCTCCATAAACGCTTCAATCTGCTTTCGTGGACCCTGTGGTTCGAGTAGTTCAACTCGCTGCAGCCAGTCGTTTACGTTATGCGGATTTTGTCTGAGAAGAACGCTATTTAGTAGGAGAGGTCGGCGTTCCATCAGCGACTCCAATCTGGCCAGGCATAGCTCTACTTCCATTTCGTCTGAACCCAGATAGCAATAAAATAAAGTAAAGCCATTAAGTGCATAAAAGGACTAGAGCAAATCATACCAGTTTCAGTTACATTCGAACGCTTTTCCAGGGCCTCCATATGGGCTTTGGTGATAGATTGTTCGAACTCCGCGTATGCGTCGAATGTCTGACTGAAATCACGGACCGTAATGACAGTGGAAATAGCTTCAGCGTAAACATCCCTAGCTCGCGAAAGATTTCCGCTTCGGATGTAAAAGTCGGCCAAAGAAGTCCACAGTATTCCCACCTATTAGGCATAAAGGTCATCAAGGAAATAGACAATAAAGCCTAGAGGGAAAAAAAAACAAACCTGGTCTGTGTAGCGACTTATTCCTTGCCGAATAATAGCATCTGCATCAAGAGAGGTTACTTTTGTTGGGTTTTTTACGAGAAGGTCACACAACACCTGCCACAACTGGAATTTTGATTTGCCCTCACGACTAATGAAATTCTCCTCATTAATTGCCTTCGCTAAGAGAATGGCAGCCTCATTAACATTCCCGTTGCGCATTAGAAAGTTGATAAATCGTTCAATATCATCAGGGGCAAACTGCAGATATCGTTTACAAATATTAATGAAGTACCTTAACGTAACGGCGATAGATGCGAGCACATGATTCATTTACATCCGCGCCATGCTTGTCAGCAAATCTGAGATAAATACGCCATATCCGTTCATGTTGTGTAATTGGCAAGGCTTTCAAGGCTCGATCAAACGTACGACGTGTCAGCGTTATATAACCTTGAAACATTAGAAATTGAAGATAATCCGTCCAAATACGAGGCATCTACGGTAACATGTAAATAGTCTGAAGGCATCTACCTTGTGCATTGTTACAAGAGCGCGCTCATGTGCATTATTCGTTTCTTCATAAATTAAACTACCAGGACACATTCTTCTAGAGTGTTGACGTCGGAGTTTCAAGTAATTGTACCACAATTTATAACTGATGGTAAGAAGCCTGAAAGTACCTACCTTCCAGGTAACTGTTTTAAGGCTCTTTCATAGGTCAAATACAAAATGTGGGGAGAGCCTGATTTCTGAAATTGAACATATCTGAGCCAGGCCTTAACATTGTAAGGGTTCTTTATCAGATTCTCCTCAAATGGCAAATTTTCTTCAGCCTAAACAGGGAATAATGACGTGAGACTACTTACAATGCTGAAGAGATCCGCCATTGCGGATACGGTACTCAAAACTGCCTCTCCCCAACAGATAACCTAAACAAGGCGACTTGTGAAAGAGAAATAAATTGTAAGAAATAGCGTTCAAGGGGCAATTTTGTTAAGTACGCTGAAAAAATTCTATTAGAGGGCTGTAGATAGCGTTTGACGTTTAAATTCAGTTCTTGTCTCAGAAGCAAATTGTATAACACGCTATTGAGACATAGTTTTATTTCAGTTAAAACGTAGTCAAGATAATACAAATACGTACGCTTTTCAAAAATATATATAGTGTAGAAATCCATATTCGAGTTATGACATTCCTTACAGTGGCACTAAATATCATCTCCACATTGATTAAATTTAAAGGGATTGTCGTTCAAATCATACATCCTTAAACGTAAAAACTAATTAAAAGACCCAGTTGTGGAGCTAACGTTACAGATTCGCAGTCTATGAGGACCCAAGTGCCCACGTAACCCTACACACGGTTAAAAAATATTGAATCACAATGTCTTGTATTGGCCACAAGAGGTGGTGCTAAAAAAGAACATCTACAAACCAGCGATGTCAGTTACTGAATTTCCTTACGTGTGAAAAGTCTTCCACCCTCATTAATGCCACCGATGCATATCATCAGTCTTCTCATAACCAAAGTTTTGTTCTATTAGTGAGCTGTATTGGGGAAGACAAATGCACTGGTCTCATATTGTTCGAGACTGGGTGATACTCTACACCCAGGGCATGTCGCAGGCCAATCGTTGCCACCAATATCGTATCTTGTATCTTCCTTGAAGTCGAAATGAGCAAAGTTGGCATGGGTGAGCAAGTATTAATAAGGGGAAAGTGATCGAATTACTGCTAGCACAGTTGAAGGTCCATGCCACAGAGAGGAAGCACAACCTGCGGACACCAAAGCGCCTGCTTAACCAATGCGTTCTTGGACAAAATACTACTTTATCGCCTCTTTCTGCTGAATTACTTTTAATATGCTTCTCCTAAGTTTGTGTTCCCTATATTTTTTCTGTTTAAATTCTGGGTGTTGAGCCTATTTTTTATGTGTGGCGCTGCAAATAAACGGGAACATTTCATTTTGGACTGGTTAGTATAGCGAAGATTTGTGATACTTTGACCGTTTGATTAATTCAGCATTCGATTGAGCTGGCATTTGAGCATCCTAGATTACACTTTTGCCTACCGTCTTCTTCTTGGGTCTTTGTTGCACTTCCTTTCATGCCTTCCGTACGTTACTGATATTTTCTGCCCTATTACTCTGACATCTTACGATTTTTGCAAGACTCGGGGCTCTACATTGTTGGCAGCGGTAAGCGGAACTGATCTTTAGGGACGCCTACCTTGCTTTTGATGAATGGTAAACCTGAACTTGGCAGATATAGGACATCTACTGTTGTGTCTCCTCGCGGAAGGGTTAAACTAATGCCTACCTTCGGCAATCACCCCAGTTTCGTGTTCTGCAGGTATGTTTTCGACAAATGAAGCGACATTAACCGTAAACCACCCGGAAGCGTTCAGTACAGAGCTGTTTATGCACCTATTTAAATATGCCAATTAAGTGCATACGCGATGCTTTTTTCACCTCTCTACCTGCTGAATGGAATCCAGGTAAGCATAAATTTGGGCTGTACTGAAGTGAGAACGTAGTGATAGGGGGAATAGTCGCAAATTTTTATCCCCGTGAAACTACTTTTTTAGCTTTGCTTTTTATTAAATGTTTGCTTAAGCCATTGTTCTTCTGACTACCAATGTGCATGCTAAATGACCTTATTTCAGAGCATCATTCCATTTTGACCAGTGGGTATTGGGGCAATTCCCCTCCCCGTGTACAGTTCCCCAACAGTGTGAAACTCCAGGCCCCATGAAATTGCTGAAATGCGTCAACGACGGGATCAAATATCTCCTTGGCGGTGCACAAATTCAAAGACTACCGCAACTGGTTTGTATGTTTTTATAAAGCGCCGACTTTGTTCTGATGGGCGACTTGGGAGGTTGTCTAAGAGGACGACGCCCGAACGTGGAGGGTCTGTCTAACGCCCTAATAGTTTGTTTGATTCTGCGTTTTATTAGGCGGGTTCTTAAATCTCTTCAGGTTTTACTTCTGCCCGGCAGTATGGCCCCCGGCTGTCGGTAAACCCCTAGGCTTTCTGTGTTGATAGTACATTTTCTGTAATGCAAGCGTACCTTCTTCGGACCAGGGTAAGATTCGGGCGCTGCAGTTCACCTCCCTCTGTGTTATCCGTCTCACCAACGAATAGAAAAAACAGTAATTCTCCTCACTCCTCGTCGTTTCGGGCCCCTAGCTAGTCCCAACCTGGTTTAGTGAATGGTACCCTCATCTCTGCTTACACTTCTGTAATCCTTTAAGAAAAGCGCACGGTAAATGGTAACCAGAGGAGCCTATTTCAACCACCCTACCTGAAGACCACACAGAATTGCACAATTTACGGCGCCTAACCCGAAAACACCACGCTTTGGCCTGTTCCCGAAGAATGCTATAACGACCTCTCACGGGCTATAGATTTGCTAAGATGACCACACTCATAATCACCATTAGCTCAGCTGTTGGAAAATTTGCGCCCCAATTAAATTACAAGACGAACAGAAGAACACGCTCTTAGTGTCGATGCGAGTTTTTACCCCAGTAATTACCCTACACTCGGAAAAGTAATATCAATGCTTGGAAAAGACGAAATGATTCCATTTGGTGTAGATTTACCTTAAAGCGACATGAGTTAAACGTTTAAACAGAGACGCAAGGGTGGGACGAGAAGTAAGTAGACGAGTGCGAATGCTTATTTGATAACCAGAGAGGCAGATGCATAACTGACCGAGGAGTCCCGCATGCAGCGGCACTTGCTCGACTGCGCATACTGTACAAACTTGAGAACTGCCCTGGCTCCGACTTCCTGATCAAGTGCTCGAACGGCCTGCAACAACACACTGATCGGGTGACGACCGCAAATTGTGTTCCCGTAGTCAGCCAGGTACTTGTTGAAGCCCGATGCATCCAAATTCTCAATCAACTCCATACCCTGCATGAGATGACTACATAAAACTAGCGAACTTAAGCAAGAGGAGCGTCGGCCACACTCCGCATTGCTAATGAACAAGCCAGCCTCCTGCTGAAGCGGAACCAATACTAACCTTATGGTCTAGATCTCTGATTGACTCCCAGATTTCACCATAGCTCCGATTGTAATATGTGTAACTAAAGCGGCTACCTGCAATAGAAAAGAACAAATCAGGACTGAAATGACAGTGAATGTAAAGGCCTGAAATGGAACAAAATCTAATTACATAGCGTAAAACTACAACTCTAGTGCACCGAACTTTGCGAAGGCACCTGGAATAGCTACGATGGTTCCGAGTAAGCGGCATTTCTACTCATTGTGTCAATTAGCGTGAAAAAAATGCAGGGCAAAGAAACCTAGATAAAGAATCCTTAACGACCCTAGCATGAGAGATTTACCCCAGTGACAGAAATCAGAGGATATAACGAAGACGTTGGAAGGATCAGAGAGGAACGGCGATAGGATCTCCCCAAACGTTTGTTCCATTGAAAGAGACAGGCTGCCCACCATAATAGGTATAACTGTAAAGTTGTTAGCATGCCTAAGGCAGAAAACACCCTTGGGTTGCGCAGGAGACGCTGAATGAAGTTACCAAATAAAGTTAAACATGCCAAGCGCAGCGACTCCAACTTACGCCTCCATGATCTTTGCAATGTATGGGAACTGCATCTCGATAGAATGCTCATCTTCGTCCTGCTTAAGAGCAAGATTCACAAACTTTCCAGTGCTGAGAAGATTTTTTCGCACTAAAGAGGGAAAATAACAAAACATGGGGCTTGCCATCATCATCTATCCGCAGATTATAGAAAGGGGTTTCAAAATAATCCGCAATAGGTATCGCACAAGACTCTAGGTAGAGATTGTGTGATGGACCAAGAACGAATATTCTCTTTCTGAGTTAGTGGGGGTTAACCGTATAAGAAGCCGTACGTCGATTCTGGATTAATTTGCTTAAAAGCGAAAGAAGCACATTCCCCGGAATAAAAGTAACCAGCATGCCTAGAAATGTGATTTATAAACACACATACGGCGTAATTATTGCCCTTGCCGGTCCATGGGTGTAAGTAGCTTTACTAAGCCAGTTCGAAAGCTGTTTGTCCAATTCATCACCTGTAATCATGATATAACAGGAAATGACGTACTGTTGCCGGAATACCAGCTATTCTTGTGGAGAGCCCTCCTTGTAGACATTTCAGAATTACCGGGAAATAAAGTAGGCAGTATAAGGTTAGCAGGCGCCAATTGCCTGCCTGGATAAGAAATAACTGTGACTTTCAGTCTTTAACAATTCAGTCATCATTTTTTTAAGACACTGGACACACAAACACTGCAGAGAAAATGCAGAAATAAGAAGTGCAACTAGAAAGCTAGGAAAGCCCATTTACTGATGTCAGCTAGGAATGAATTGCAGGCAAATCTAAACTTAGAATACACGAACTTCTCTGGACTTTAAATATAAGGCTCTAGCATGATCATTAAAGGCTTAAAAACCACCCCAGACCCACATTATGCAGCTTGTATGCCTCGTAAAACACGAAGCTGTCATTTTTAAGTCCTTTGAAAACCTTATTATAACTTTGGAGGTTCGTTTCATGTTTGATGCTCGAATACAAAACCGGCTGTTTTCTATTGATCAGTTAGTTATGCTACTTAAAAATACCAGTAAATGTTAAGGTATTTCATGAAGGGCAAATAGACATAAACGTAGCCTCATCCTACAATAAATCAGTGATAGCACTTTCTACAAGACATTGTTTTCTGTCGTTTGAGAGCAATTTTGGCTAGGTCATGTGGTTCTTTTGCTGAAAAAGATGAGCTACTTTATTGGGTGGAATTTCTTTTAATGACTCAATCTACCTATACTGTTCCACTGCTGACGATTTGACCGGTTCGCCTTCTGGTTTCTTAATTATTGATGTCGTCAGCGGTCTGGACAGTTTGCCCATTTTGGGACAGTTGTTATTATTATTTATTGCGCATTACCTATACGGCATAGTTTGCTGTTCCTCTAATTATATTTCAGAGCTCTTTATTTGTTCTGAGACGCATTAAGCTCTTACCGTTATTTTGACCACAAACACAGTTAGCTCACCAATGGATCAAGATAGTGTTGTCAGTGCTCGGAGTGACAAGAGTGGCATTAATCAACAGCAACAATCTGTTCTTCAGAACTTTTCTGTTCAAGGTCCTGACCCTAGGCAACAGATGAACTATACGGCACACGTACCAACTGCTTCTACATTTCCTAATGAAGTTCCACGTAATCACGCAGAAATGCAAGTTCATGGAATGTCAATGGTTCAGTCTCCAATATTTCCACAACCAGGATCTTCTGTCTCGCAACATCCTGGATATAATTCTAACTGGAATGCTCCTCAACCACCCAGTCAACCCTTTCTACCCTACACTTCACCCACTATTTTCCCCCCTCAACAATGCATAGGCATGATGGGCTGGTCTGGACCTCCCCCGATGGCTGGTTGTCAGCCTTCATCTGCATTTCCTATGCAACCGCTTGCCCCTTCTTCGAACCAATCCTATCCCCAAACCCAATCCAATCAGCCGCTTATTCCATTGGATGCTAGTGGTGTCGCTCCGAAGCTTCCACATGCTCATACTCCGATCTCCAGTAACAGGGGTGGGAATCAACAAATGGACCAATATGGCCATGACGAAAACGCGTGGGCCGAGAATGCTACGGCTGTCACCGGAGCTACCAGTGAGACCGGTCTAAGTGCTGATAATATGTCTCGATTCGGCGCACGCTATGGCCTTTTTGCATCTTTGAGTATCAACAATAGTTCCAGTTCGTGCGTGGGTGGAGCAGCTGCGGCTCTGATTCGAACCGAAATCGACGATTTTCCTAACCACACTTGCACACGTCTCTTTGGGTTTCTGATTTATTTCGGTCTTGGATTTTGTTCCATTTGCTCCCCTGTTCTCATGGTAATATTCCCCTACCTTCCCTACATTGGATGGACTACGGATAAGTGTGATCATACGTGCGAAGGTCATCTTATCGGAATGGCTGTAAAGCTGGCATTGCTAGGCTTGGGAACCTGGATCGTGACAGCACCTCACTGCCCATTATTAAACGGTGCCCGGAAAGCCTATCCACGAGTTCGACTGTGGCGAAGCCTCTTTCTCTGCCTCATATTCGTCATTTTGTTTGCATTTTGGCTCTTCTACAGTGTTCGCATTCTCCAGCCACGGAGACGAGACTACGGATCGATCGTCCTTTTTTCTACCAGTCTCTCTGACGCGTTGCTTTTTCTAAATTTCTCTGGCATAGCCCTCCTTGAATTTCAGCGCTTACGATCTCAATATGCGGTTCATGTAGTCAGGTCTCCTGATGGGGCTTCTAAAACCTACAGACTGGGCGAAATGTCGCTTCAAAAGGCAGCTTTGGAAATCCTGCAGATGTATATGGTCGATTTTACTGTAAGTTGTTTCCCCCCACACTTTCTTCATTTTTCTGTGTAGCGTGATAATACAATAAGTAAAACGCGTTTCAAGTTCTCATTTTCTACCGTGAGATTTTCTTAGTAATTTTCACTGTATGCGTCTGGCCATAATGTGTACCATTTTGGCGTAAACATTAACGAAATATGGGAAATAGGTATTTTTAATAACACGGCTCACTAGGATGCATCTTCCCTCTCATTTATCATTTGATTTCTTGATGCTGCGAGAGCGGAAACTCAGTCGACATCAACCCCTTCTTCATTCTTGTCAATGCACAATATTTGGAAGCAATCAATGATAATCTAATTCTGTGGTTTACTTATTAATCCGTACTCCCCATTTGTAAGTCTCAAGGAATGGTAATTTTTAGCCTTGAGGACTAGGTATCTGTCTACATGTCGTACTGATTTTGATTAAGAATGGTAATTTGTAGATATTGGCCACAGCTTTCTCATCCCCCCTCTTCTGCTAGGTCTACACCCAACCACTATCCTCGTCGAGTAGTCGTCGCAACAAGCGCGGCGGTGCAACGAACCACGGTGGTGACGTCGGACACAACGCTAGCAGTGCGGGAGCCACTGGCGGTGAGGTCGGCGGGTCTAAGTACAAATTCTATGACGTCGACGGCCGAGAAAAGAATGGAGCTCAAACACCCGGCGGCAACCAAACGGTAGGCCTAGTCATATTACCCCTTTGTGGATGCACTGACCCATTTTCTATGAAGACAAACAATCATGAGAACCCATTAAATGTTAACTTGACGACGTTGGCTACTAGTGCTGATTTTTTTATGTGGACTCACTTGAGATGTACTTCCTTCATCTTTCGGTATGTTTTCTGGTTCTTATTATTTTGGTGACGAACCCAAAATTAGAGAGGTGTCATTGTTCTGAATAGGTGGTCGCAATGCTTTTCTTAAATCTAAGCTATACTAAAGTATAAAATGGATTTGAGTTAAAATTTGGCCTTATGAACTTCGCTATAGGTCTTTACCTTCTCCGATAACTATGGGCATAATTGTGATAACTATGCTTTTGACATCACGTTCCTTAAATAGCTTGGTGCATATTCTCTAAGCCTATCGTCTCTTTTAGAGGCTCAAGTAGGATCGCTTTCCCAGTTCCTAATTAATATACTTTTCGCGCGTACAGCAGATGGCAAGATTACCTAGTATCAATAGACTTTTTTGTTTATGGGTACTTTGTTAGGAAGTCCTATTACAAAGGGGAAAGATACCAAAAAAGGTCAGAATTTTATTCCTGCTAGGATGGCGATGAGATCATAGAATGAAAAATCGTACCTTAATTTACTAGCAACTGAGTTGAAGTGGTAGAGGCTGAAAATTACTGAGTGCGAACTCTTTCTTCAACTTTTTATCCTTAAAGCAATAGCAACTACTGAGATAGACAATATGTAGCCGAACAGCTCCTGCGAATACGATTTAATCCTGTTATAATGTATGCCACTAAGGGAACCTAAACTGCTGGAGGTCACCCTACTTTGCTCCGGCTTAACTGGTGACAATGACTTTCACATCATAGCGAACACTTATACTACCAAGGGCCATTAAAGGTGGGGAAATAAAGTAGGATAGGGCGCGTCCTGAAGCTGCTATACACAGTGATTTCGCAATATTAATGCTTTGGAAATTTGCTTCTTTTTTAGAGTGGTGGTGGCGGAAATGGTCCTTCGGCATCAGCGCGGGTCTACGACGAGATGGAGGCGGAGAAACGTGTGCGTAAGCGGCGAATGCGACTCCTCCTAGCCGTGGAGGACGCTTTTGCTCATGCTGCTCGCATGGCCAGGGAGACGACTGCCGCTGACGGACCTGGAGCGCTCAACCGCAACTCCGTCGTCAGCACTGGTGGTGGAGCCGGTGGTTTCACAGCCTTCCAAAACGGTTTGTTGTTCCTCCTGCCTTATCTCCTTGTCCTATCACCGAACCCATTAAAATATGTGTATGAAGTGGTGCTTTGATGGACTTTAGATAAACTTTATCAGCTTACCCAAGTGGATCTCATTTGCTAATTTTCGTACACTCCTATGCTTGTCCTTGTCAATCATTCATCGCTTGATTTAGTCGGAGTAGATGAATTCATCCTTAGGTTTTTTCTTCAATAACATTTCTCTCAAGTGCATTGTATTTTCAATTAACCGAACTGAAGATAAAATAAGTGAACTCTAATGCGAATACGAAGTTATCAGGCCCATTTTTCATTGTTACTACTTTTGGTTAAGGTCTATGCATCCCAAGTCTCTTAAATATTTCATTTATTTCAAGCTAGATAGTCTATACGATGATCAGATAGCACAGCTCACGATCAGGGACTTTGATGTGTGTTATTCCAATTAATGAAAACTCAAATAACCTCCTTGCATCTTCCTAGATTTTTCGCAAGTTTTCTGTGTAATTTGTGCTCAAGAAATTAAAAATAGGTAACTTTGTGGTATAACTCTTAAAGTGTTTTTCTTCAAAACCGAATTTGTATGTAACAGGATTTTTTAGTTGACTAACATAGGGCTGCTGATTACGGTGATACAGACTAAACAATGCATTCATTCGCCATTTCGATGCAGCTAGCACAAATGGTTTGATGCTTAGGCAAAGTCGCACGTTGTTTATACCAATGCCCCATTTATCCCCTTTAAAACGATGAGCCAACTGGGTAGCAATTCCCTTGCGTAAGTTAATGTGGCGGTTCTGAAAGTGGCTCAAATCCGTTCATTTCACGTACACAGCCTTTTTCGACAGTCCATTGCGCCTCTGCCCAGGCGAAACCACAAAATATGTAAAGGTGCGCAGCCTCTCTACTCATATATCTAGTAAAGTTACAAATATTTGATGCATAGCTTTGTAATCAGCAAAATTATGGATATTAACCATCACAGCTATTCGAAATATCACCCCTTCTTGATTGTCAAACCTATTCTCCAGTCATTTATAGGTTTTTATTATCGATGAACCTGTTGAACTCTTCCCCCATCTTTCATTTCTCTCGTAGACGAGTTTAATGGAGGGGCCTTTCGGTACAATATGGCTGGTGGTCGACATGGCTTCTTTGTCACAAAAGCAATGACAGTTTAGACTAGTATTTTCTGGCTAGAATAGTTTTGCTCGGAGCTGAATAGGCCGCCTTTACGATTTTTTGTAAGCCGAAACAGCTATTCATGATTTATTTTGTTTTCTTGCAGATATCTATGGGGAATAAATTGTATATTTTTCCATTTCTCGTCGTCTTTCGCTGGGTATTTCCTGGGTGGCAAGAACTCACCACTGTGCATTTAGTACACAGTTCATCTGTAAGCTGATGAGTCGTGAATAATTCGGCTAATGTCTACTACTTGAGCTTATTTCCCATCCAATGGTACGCTGTTATTTTTGCCCTAGTGGTTTTTCAAAATATAGCGTGGAGTTTTGATAATAGTTGGTTGATTGGGGCTTCGGTAGTGTTCCATTTTGTTGTTACGCTGAGCAATTGAGATGTCAATTATCAGCTGTCCACCCTCAATCTAGGGCCGGATTATTTACGTTTTGCTGAGAAGAACCGGCTTTAGCGGAATTCCCAATTCTTAAGAAACTTGACAGTTGACCTTTCTAAAAGAAAATTTTTATTTCGTTGATATGCAATGCATGTAAAGAATTTCGACTTGGGTCTTATCTTTACCATAGTACAAGAATCGGGGTCAGTGTCCTCTCTGTGATGGTAACGCACGAATCTTCAATGAATGTGATCTAATTCAAGCGACCACCTTTATTGCCGGTGTGTAGCTTGGCTATTTTAGCGACAAAGTTCTTCCTTTAGGCGGAAATGTCAAACCTTTGTCTTCGTGTTGTTTCGTCATGTGTGTTATATGGCTTACTGGTGCATTTGTTAATGGCCTGCCTCAAAAACATGAGGGATTGCTGTGTTTCGAGATTATTTTCTGTAGTTGTCAGTGTTTTTACTTCACAGTTGATCAGTCTTTATTCATTCTTTAGGAATGGTTATAAGTAAGCATAATTGAGATGCAGTTCGCATGAATTCACACACTCCGCTTTTCAAGAATCGATGAAAAGTTATTCACATCAATGGGTTATAATATTTTACTTATGTTTAGTCGGTTCCTAGTACTAGCATTAGTTTGGATTTTAACTAACCAATCCCTAACCAGTCCCTTTGAAATCGAAGGCAACTGATAAACTGGCAAGAAATTGAAAGCTGAGTGAGCTTTGGTGAAGACATCTTAATTGCATAGCCAGTATTTATTTGAACCATTCGTTTTATGTGCATGTGTGTGGACTTGACCAATCATAAACGGCAAAATACGTTTCGTTGATAAACAATAGCGTTTCATGTCAATAAATGTGGTTATTCTGGTAGTCTGCCATCTGGACTGTCAAAAAACCAAAGCTCGTGAATTTTAGGCGACTAATTAAGAAACGAAAACCATCTGATCCACAAACAGTCAGGACTATCCTTGAGAGAGATCATCAACCTCGTAACGCGCGATGTATTCCGACCTGTTGTGCAATACATGCTGAACTGAAGGCATTTCCATTGGCGATTTTTGAAGAACATTAGAGAAGTGCCACTATATGTGTTCGGCTCTACGTGTGAATATCAACGCTTCCCGGGGGGGGGGGGGAAGCGAGTGGAGGGGGAGATGGTGTGTAGCCATTTTTTTGGCCACCAAAAGCATACACACACTTCGGCACTCCGTCACTTTCCTCTTGAGTTACCCCTCTCCCCCCTTATGATCCAAGGGATAGTGAGGCATTTTGGCACCTAAGTCATTTACTTGCGGGGCTCTTTTGGCATTTAGCCGTCCCTCTGGACCCACGTCAGTTATTTTTGGCCTTTTAATTAATACGCATCGGTGAGGTGTTTTTTTTTCTTTTTTTTAAGAAGCATTGGAGTGAGTGGGGAGAGTTCGAAGGTTACCTCTGAAAAAGCAATGATGATACTTGTGTGCGTCCCGATTTTACTTCACATGAAGGTGAAAGACGGTTCGTAACCCGACCGCCCGCAAACGTACCCTGTCGTTAAAAGAGGGGCATGTTTTCTCTGTTTTTCTGTGTACAGCCACAGCGACCCATCCTAGCTGGAGCCCAATTTATCACATCTCTCCAACTATCGGGGAGAGGCGTCTGGGTACCGCTGTTACAGCGATCTTGTGCGTGCACACGCACGTACGCACCTTCGTGCACGCGCCGCGTACCTTAACACATTTTCAAGAGGTACGCGCGTCAGTGTTGCGAGACACTCGTGTGCGCGCATGGGTGTTCGGCTGAATCGATGGTCGAGTTCGACGCTGAAGATGTGTGCGCGCATGTGTGTGTCCGTCTATCTACATGTCCATCCGCCCACGTAACCGTTCAGAGTGTGATGAATCACTTTTCTTGGTGGGAAGAGCGCGACTGCCTCAGCCCGCTTCTCCTGCCCCTGTTCCTGTGCTTGGGAACGCAGAGCGATTTCAGAGAAGGCAAATATGGCTGTGCTCGTATCCACGTCTTCATATTCTTGTTTAGTACCTGCATCTATGCGCTCCTATCTTTCTTTTATAACTTCGTAATAATTTACCATTTCGTCATAAGATGTTAATAGAATTGGGGATTGCTGGCTTCATCCCCACAATACCGCAGGATTGAAAGCAAATTTAGTTTTCCTTCATGAATTCCCATGTTTTAAATTGTATGGGAAGCAGACGTAAATACTAAGTCAACTTCTAGTCCTATCTAAATAAAAAAATGTTCCCCACGATCCCTAAAACTCTGTCAAGAAATTTCGAGGTTTAGGCTGAACAATATATCCTTGGTGTTGACGACCACTGTTTAAATTAAAATGAGTCTTGAGTCATCATGTAGATTATTCCGGAAGAGGTGAGTTAACGATAATTCATCTCTGAAAAATTAACAGAAAGCAAGTTTGAAGACCAAAGATGATATCGGCAGCATTTTTAGAGGCCTCATAAACATGTCGTTTCGCGAAACCTGGATGTAGAACTTTCCTGCAAATTTGAGTTACTGCTCCATTTTCTAACTTTGACTTTTCTAGTCACCCCAAACTACTTAGGAAATTTTGCTTTGGTAGTTTCCGATGTAGGCTTTTGAGCCAAAAATCAGGCAAAAGTTAGTGATACGAGAAAGACATTTTCAACCACTATTCTAGTCCAGGGAGTTTTCAGGGCGAGATTTTACTTTAATCCGTGGATTCCATCAATAAATGAACACAGCTGTCTCATTACCGTTCATTAAAGTCTTTCCAAACAGTCAGCCACCGATTGGCACAGGCCTCATGCTCCCACCGTTTAGTCCTGTTAATTAACAAGCATAAATAATTTGATGCTACTAACTGCAGGAGAAGTCATCCCCCATTCTATTATCAGAAACGGCTCCTGCTTTCTCAGACTCTTTAATGTGGTGGGCCCCGCCGCGCTGTCCATTTACTAACTCGTTGGGGCCTACTTGCAGGAAGCCAAATTTAACGGATCAGATAGTTCTCCTTATGCTCTCACCTCTGAAATCTTTCTGGTTCTTTCCTAAGTTAGAATTTCCGTGCATGCACATTTTTATTTACCATGAAGGGCCTAAAGTTGTAATTTTTTAATTTTTATTGGATAGTTGTGGCGGTAGAGCGTTCAAGGGGAAGGATGTTTGTACGTTTGTACGCTTTCCATCGTGTAGTACATTTTTGAGGCTCTGTCAAGAGCTTTCTCAATCCATCTTTTTATTAACATGTTTACTCAGCTTTGGGGATACTTAAGTGTAAGGCCGAGTTTTCCACTCTGGTGACGGTATAGATATGGCGACGTGATGCTGACTGTAATCTGATAGACGCCCCCTAATTTCACTCTAAGAGGTTAACTGAGAGTAATTAACTATCAGCCTTTTTGCCTGACGTCCCAAAAGATCACTATAAGAAATGACATTACAGGGCTTATATTCGGCGGCATTGGTTAAAGTGGGTTAGCCTTCGTGTGCCATTAACCTTCGTGTTAACTGGCGGCCAATTTTGATGCCTATTTCTTCATTTTTTGGCTGTTTGGATGACTACACTCCAGTGGAGGTGGTTATACTGCTGTCGATATCAGTAATTGTATCTTTACTAACCCTTTTTCTCTGCATTTTATGGTCGCAGTTCATGCAATATTGAGTGGAGGTACCAGACATTCCTTTCATTTTCTGTCAAAATGGGTTATTTAGGTTTGTTTAAGAGACCTGCTTTCATATACCCTTTCTCGCTTTCCTTTTCTGGATTCTTTGCATAAATATGATAAACCCCTTTCGACGGTGTTTGCATGTAAGCAGTCTTTACGCGTTTACCTGGTGTAATGCATAGCATGCGCTTTAAGTGAGTGGTCCATTGCACTGGTAATCGTGTTTCAGTTGCTTCGATATTTTCTGATCGTATAGTTTGTTGTGAGTGCGTCTCATTTGTAGCACATCTTGCCTGAGCAATTAAATTAAGTTCACATAACAGAGCTAGACATCCATCGTCAAAGGCTGAAGGGGTCTCTGCGCAATGACCCTCTCACTGATGCTTATTCCTATTAAGTGTTTAGTTGAGAAACAAACATCGTTCCTCATCCACGAATGTACTGGGGCAGAACGACACATCTGTCTGTATTTCACTTTTTCATCAACTGCGCCGACACTTGCCGGGGCTGCCTTAGTGCGCTTCAGTGGTTTTTCAGTGAAAACCCACATTCTCACGGCCTTCCTCATCGTGCTTCTCGAAATACGATCTTGTATGTTCACCTCAGTCAATTTACCTTTTTGAAATAAATTTCATGGTTTTTCAAACAATAATCATAAGTGCTACGTCTTAATGTCTTTTTGTTGCTACACAGACTTTTCAAATCATCCCTTTTGATGAACTGTGCCTTCGTTTCAGACAAATTTCTCCCTCGGTGCAGTGAATCCTAAGGGATTAAAATTATTCTTGAGTGTCCCTAACTCCCATTATGCTCTGTTTGAGGGTCAACCCATTCCGTATGGATAGTTAAAAGCATTCTTTATTCAAAAGCTTTAGAATTGGTTGTCAGTCAACTATCAATTTCATTAAAATACCTTAATAAAGCTGCATCAAGGACAAGTTGGGTCGCATAGCTAGATTATCGGCTATCTTATTAAATATCCCCTTGTCACAACGAGTAAAGCGTACCACACGCATATTACTTCCAAAGACTTCATCAGATGTAGAGTTTGATAAACTATTGCAGAAAAGATTGGAGATTAAGAAAGGTGGACAACTTAATCAGAAGCGCACGAAATAGTGCAAAGGCCGTATCATCACAAATTACAGCGACTCCGAGTGACAAATCGGATGTTTTACAGGCAATGGACGGGCAGTGGGTGCCGGTGTTGGCGGCACGAAGGCATTTGATCCCTATGAGGCCGCACAAACGGTATTCCCGACGCTAATTCGTCCACTGCAAAAGTACTTGCGCGCCACGCGACAGCAGTCACGCCATCCAGTAGACTCAGTGATCGATCACTTGGCAACCTGCATCACCTTTGGTCTCTCGCCACTCACCTTTTTGGAACGCTTCAATCCCGCGGCCTCCACGCCGCAACAGGACGCAGCAACAGCGGCCAACGCGCTTACCGTGGCGCGTAACATCGCTCAGCGCCACCGTCGTCCCCTCATCATTGCAGGTGGCGCGATGGCAGGGAGTGGAGGTGGGGCGGAGGGGGGCGTCGAGGGTGCCGAGTACAAGCCTCCCGGTCCGCCGGTCGCTCCCGGTGGTCAGCAGGTCTGGCAAATTGTGGCGGATCGTGCACTCTCTCGCGACATCGCCGACGGCCTAGTCTTTCAGCTTAGGCGACAGCACGGCAACTGCGAGATCTCCCTCCTCTGTACTGTCCACCGATTGCCGCTCCTGCAACTTCTTGAGGCCGGTGTCGGTAGCGGTACCCCCGGCGCGATGGCCTGAGGTGCACCCATCCGTTTACCTGTTCGTGTGTGTGCATTTATCAACAAGGTGCTTCCCTGGCTTCTCTACTTGACTCTTCTCCCTACCCTACATAATTCTTGCCTTCCTCCCATTCTCAACTGATCAAACGCTTTATGCCTTCACGCGTCCCACTTGGTCTCTCCTTCCATCATTTGTAAAAGACATTGGGTAAAGCAAATTCTCTTCCCTCTCATCTCATGATTTATAATGAAACAAAATGCTTACATGCATACTTTCTTTTGCTCTTGAAGACCATCTAGACCACCAATCTATTAGGTAGTGATTTTGGTTAATGTCCGTTGTGTGCCACTACTGGTCACCGCTGTTGGGGCATGGGTGAAGTGTCTGAACGTCGCCAGTCATGCGTGGGCTATGGTGCCCTACGAGGTCAATACAACTACTGCCGCCGCCAAGCTAATCTGATGGGTGCCAACTGCTTTTCATGACGCTGATTCACGCAGCCATTTCAGAGCCCCCTTTTCGTTATTTGCACTAGCGGTGGAAGTGTCCGAGATAGGCGGCCGGTCGGTTCCGTGAATCAAGTGGGGTTCGCAGGTGTCGAACCTTAAAGATCCTTTGAGATAACGGTTTCATTGGATCCATTTGTTCAGCCATCAAGTTTGTGATAGCTCACGTACTTTAGGTCCCTATTGTTTTTTCCCATTATGGCAGCAAAATTGGAGAGCACGCAAATCCATTTCTGGTATGCGGTTGTGACACTGTGATGTACTTAGGTGACACCAGGCGCATCTCGTCTGGATTTAGCAAAACTTGGAGCATCACGGCTAGTCATTTTGATGAATCACCTACACATCAAAGTGTCTATACTAGTAGTGGATGCACAAGCACCCAGTGGTTTCACCCCTTAAATTTTTTGGTTTGCCTTATTGTGGGCTCAACATCTAAAACGCTCATGAGTCTCAAATAAACCACAAGAACCGAATTCAAATTCAAGTATGACCATAATAATTACATGACAGGTTGAGTAACTATTGTTAACGATATTTGAAATTTTTGGTGACGGGGTACCCCAACTCCAACAACAAAGTTTAAACTGAACCGAGGTGAAACCTATTCACTTAGCAACTTTCGGATTTCCATGAATTCGATTGCTAAACGGATTCCAGTGCAATAGTGGCTTGGCAGATGGATGCGCATTCTTTCGTCCAAACAACTTTGAGTTCGAATGAATCAGCCGCAATTTTGGTGGGCTTCAGTCTGTTTGACGCATATGAAAATAGTCCTTGCATTCAGTGGAGAAAAAGCTTGTAAATCGATACGTTTTGAGGATTAATTATAAAACGATTTTACGGAATCTCTTTTCCACTAAATGGTAAACAAAACGGACTGTTAGAGGCAACCTCACCCTACCAATTTTGTTTTCGCAATGTATGGACAGTTCTGATATATTACACCATCGGTTTGGTTACCTTGATTTACAAAGTTCGCATATAATAAGGAAGTTCTCAGAAGGTTACCATTTCCTAGAAGAGATTGATTATGACCTACTCAACTTTGTGGGTCTTAAAGAAAGTCGGAAACCGTGATACCCACACCAGGTTGCGGAGAGAGAAACAGTGTCCACGTTAACTTCACACCGTGAGCAGACTCACTAACCTGCACAAATCTACCTAAATCAATCATTGATGCCGTGGTGGACACTGTAGACGTCCTTGCTCCTCCATCAAATCAAACTGAGATATTATCCCTACAATCACAAGCCCTTTAGAAGGATTTAAAGATACCATGAAAATTCTGAGACCCTTTTAAATGGTCTGTTAAATACGCATTAACGATGAGCGATGGTGGTAACATTTACCGGTACCGCTTTTTTCACTAACAAGCCATTAGGCGGCAATACGATAACCTGCAATTTGTGATGATTCATTTGAATCGTTCCCATTGTAAATAATACCAGCACCATTTTCACTGCAACCAAGGCAACTGGAATAGACGAATTGCCTGATATCATGCTAAAATTTAATTCCAATTTGAAATTAACTTGTACCTTCTAACCAAAACAAAAGGTGGGATTTGTGCATAGGGGCCTTGGCGCAGAAAAATAAGCTGAATTAAAGTAGCATCTTAGAGAGAACAAGAGACCGTGATGAGGCTCAGTTGTAGTTTTGTACAGCTTAACACCTGAGTACGCCACTCAGCAATTGTTACTATGACCGTTGAAGCAGCAACAAATTCAATCCAAAACTGTCATATCAACTGCAAACTAATTTGCTGAACTTCCTAAAATTGTAAAAAAGGGAAGCGTTGGAATATGTTATCAGATTCTAGGGTTACCGACTGGTAAACGAATTCCAAAAAATCACATTGGAAAGGATACACATGAATCTCTTTAATGCAATATAGATCCTCGTTTTAGCATCTTCTAAGATGCTCCATAAATTTAGCTACACTAGTGGTAGAACAGATGACTGATCCCATAAATACCTGCATGTGAGTGTACGCTTTCTTAAAACAGTAACAGTGCGTATTATTGGTCAGGCATGAAAGTAATTTCTCCTTAAAACTGCAGACATTAAGTTTTAAATCACACCAAAGCAATCGTCATTTACTGCAAATGATCCTGATTTATTGAGAAAAACATGCCAACGAGGATTTTTTGACCTATAATATGAAAAGGGGAAATTAGAATGAATTTTTACTTTTAAACAAGATAGAAATGTCATACTTAGTCACAAGTACCACAATTACTAGAAGCCATTTCAATAGATTGTAATTTCAAAAAGCCCGAAAAGTTGTAGAAAGCCCATGTGCCAACATTCATCCATAAACCACAACACAGACTGCAGAGACATCACCCACTGAAAAACATTCCATATGAATTGACAAGAGAAGAATGGCTTAGAAACAGCAAAAAAGGCTCTAGTATTACGAGTGGGTGCTAGAACAGTTGCGCAATTTTATCGGAATAATCATATTGATACGTCAAAAATTATAGATTGGGAATAATGACATATGTATTCATTGGGGTTTTAGAGAAATCTGTGGAGAAAGTGTCAAACTAGGAATCCGTCATTAAGGAAACGTATTTTCAAAACACAAGTTTGACTCTCAAAAAAAACAAAGATAATCTCGAAGTATACGATCATTGTAAATATCACACAAAGCAAAACGATCACAAGCGAGTTGATAAAAAAAGAAATTGTGAAAGTGAAAGTGAGAAGGGGAGGAGAGGGATGATATGAAGGGAGATGGGGATGAAGGACGCACTTCAATCGACTTTACTTGAACTCAAACCGATGTGCCGCGTAAATCGTGCACTCGGACAAACATATCAACCCGCTTTTCCTGTTGTTTACGCTTCTGATAGGCGCGCTGAGCCTCCTCGGAGAGTAAGAAGTTCTTCATGTTCTGCCGACGCGCCTGTGGATCCTCGACGTGCTGGCAGACGCTCTTCGGCACCCAGCCCGCCCGACCATCGGGGAGCACGCCCTTCAACCAGCCTGTTGGTGTTTTGTAAACTGATTTATTATAAAGTAAAGCAACCCAAGCCGGAAAAACGATGGAATAAATTACAAAGTCAAAAATACAATCGACATTTAGAGAGTTGATGAGAAATTTTACGATCAGGAATATGCCCACAGTCGGATCGCTAATTCTGATGACATTTCCAGAGGGAAGTACGGTTGAAAACCACACAGTCAGCTGTGAATACAACAGGATTTTTTGTTTCCGGCTATATGCACCTTTAAAGCCCCTAGTGTCAGAGAACTATGTCCTCCACTATGTCAACAATAAAGCTACCAATACTTAGGCGCTACACAAATATGCGCTTGGTGGCCTAAAGAGTTAACAAATCAATGCAGCAGATTCAATGTTGGACGATCCAAGGTAAAAAACGCGAAATGGTCCCAATTACGAGTGTGGTTTAATAAAGCTTGAAATATACAATTATTTATTCAAATAGCCCACAAAAGGCGAGTGAAGCAAAATGGGCGATTTAATATCATATCAACCCGAATAAATTTGAGATAAACTTTGATTAGTTGTAAATGAGTAAAGTAATAGCATAACAAATTATCTTAAAAACAGCGGTTGCCACCGGCCAAAATACAACAAAGAAAAGGGGGAATTGACATAACTGCTTCTCTAGAGTCTAATTCGGATTTTAATGCTACAAATTGTAGCGAGTTGTTGTTGTTGTTGCAATGGAGGAGAGATTTTTCATCGAAATAGCAAAGGTGAGACAACTCTACAGGACACACTCCAAGGCACTATTTGGCTGCATTTGAAGAGCTGTAAAGCGGATAGAAGGTTTGCCCTTTAGAAGTTTGAGACAAACGAGAGATTTGATGAGATGGCAAGGTTAGAGCGGCTCAGAATTCATGAAATTAATAAGACCAAAAAATGTCCAAATTCAGTGACCATCATACAATAAAAATAGAATTTCATTACCTTACAAACGATTCCATATTCAAACATGACAGTCAACGTGTTCTAGAATACTTAATTCCGTTAAGCGCTTAACCAAATAATAATAAACTGAGAATTTAATAAGGCATCCAAACATTTGGCAAACAAGCCATTAATAACAAACATGAAGGTGCCTAATTTGTTGATCCATCGGTAAGTCAAATGTGTAGGTGGAATCAAAATTGGCATGCCGATGTCTTTCCGATGTTTCTTAAGTGATCAAACAAAGCCTAAAATAAAATAACTACAAAGAGGAAATATATAACACCGTTTTTAGCGAATCCTAGAAGAGGAAGAGGCTGTGAAGCGTTCAGTAAGAAGAGGGCGGGAGGGAATTAAGCCCGAAAGATTTGCCAGGTATTACCACAAGCTACTAGGAGAAAATGTTATTTCTGACTGACTGCAGGTTAAATAAACAGTGGAGAATTGGTGGAACCGCGGAAATTAAAACAGCTGTTAGCATAAATTATGCTCTGGTTTGCGATGGCCTTGTTCACTAGGCGCTGAAATTTCTCCATGCGTTATAAAAAACAGCAACAAAAACGACAATACGTTCTTTTCACTATGCAAATGCAGAGGAGACTGAAGTTGAAGCGGCACAATTTGTGTTGGATCGACAATGAGACATTCCTCGAAGAATGCACACTAAACACTGACAACTGGTGCAAAAGCAAATTACGTGCATTGTAAGATGATTAGTACCTAATGAACGATGAGGATCATTGCCTATCATCACGGCCTTAGACGGTACTACAAAAAGGGATCTTTGTTGGCATTTGAAGATTTTAATCAATGAAGCATGAAATCTTTTGAAACGTGGATTAACAATAAGAAATATCTATGATCATCCAGTGCATAGAATTAAAGTCTGTGACGAATCTTATCCCACCTTGCATCGGAATCATTACTGAGGCAGGAGACAAGAATTGAAAAAGGCACGAATGGAACTATTACCAAAATAAATCGGCAGGAGTGATAGAAAAAGTTCACTCTCAAAAAAACGGACAAAACCTTTTTAGCTGAATCGATGTTTACATAGAGGAAGGTTCATCACAACGAAGCCTATTCAAGAATTAGGAAAGCAGTTCCACAAAAACTACGGCTATGTTACACTATGCTTAAATAATCACAATTCATATGTGCACAGAACAATAGGCATTTTCTAGACTGTTATAACCTTTATATAATGTAATTCACAGGTTACTATACTTATGTGCAATTTTCAGTACGACCTACCGTCTGATAATTCCACGATGACGTTCATTAGGTCACCTTCCTTGAGATCAAGTTCATCTCGTTCTGTCGCCCCGTAACTGACAATTGCAATGACTTGCGGGCAATCTAGAGAAAAACAAGCCAAAGCACTTACAGTGAATCATGAAAAACAGATTGCGCAATTTTCCAATCACATTAACTGCTTATTACATTCCCTGAATGGACAGTAAATTACCAAGGTTAAGTGGTCAGCTTAGTTTGCATTCTAAATTAAGAATCTAGGATAATGTAGCCGTTTTAGAGTAATGATTTTAAGTCTGCACTCCTCACACTGTCGGTTTATCCTCTAGCACATCTTAAACTTGGGCGACGTTTTGTAGACTTAACGTGGAATGAAATAAAGACGATTCAACTCACAGTAATAATGGAAACGAAGCATAAGACGTGATGATTTACAACAATGTACTATTTAGTTTGGCTTACTGAATCGGAGACCCGGATAAAAGTAAATTAATATCAATAAGGAATAATACTGTAAAATGCATATGAACATGCATTAAATAAAGTACACAAGAAAACAAAAAAGAAATTGAAAATCACATTACTTCTATTCCAATACATTTTGCCCAATAGCATAGCACGTATATTGTATGATTGTGAATTTTTGGATGAAAAGTCAAATCTATTCATATGGCAAAAACAAAGAAGACAGTTCGTAAAAACACGATTAGAGACCTTTCGAGGCCTCAGAGGCCACCAATGACCGTTCCATTAAAAGCAACGTTCTTTGATACACTCAAGCACTATTACGATTTAGAGTAGCCAACCCTGAAATGTTTAACAATGGAAAGAATATTTTGGAAGTAAATTACTGTCCATATTAAACAATACGTATTTAACATGCAAATCTTCCCCACCGGGTGTGGTGGGTCAGGTCACTGGTAGGGAGTTTCAACTGTCAAAACATTGAAGGCATTATGAAATTTCTGTTTCAACATAACTTCCAAAACATTAAACTCCAGACTAACTATTGATATCAGTGATTTAAATGCTGATAATACCACTTATCAAAACACTATCATAATATACTATGATGAAACATCCAAGTCAATAATTAAACAAAGTAGTTATGAATCTACCCCAAGTATCATAGCTTATTTCAGATGGAACACTGTAGTAGTCTGGCTGAAGTGCATCCACCCATCTCTCGCGTTGGGACCTGGACAGAGAAAAATCAAAGTAAAAACGAGCCTACTGATTCAAAGACAGATAAAGATTGATACGAGACGTGCACTCACAGAGTATCGCACAAGAAGTGATAGTCGACAATGGTGAAGTCGGTGGATTGGAAGGTTAGGATAAAGGGGTAACCGATGTAGCTGACGCCGCCTTCAGAGAACCCGCCAACGCTACCAATGGAAGAACTACTGGTAACGCCAGTTGCACCAGCGCCAGTGCGGTGGCGAGAAGAGCCGCCACGGGAACGGGAACGCTCGCGGAAGTGGCTCCCTTGCCGCGTTATCATCAACTCGCCTGACTGGCGTACCGAGATGGAGCGGTCAGGCCGGATGTTAGGAACGATGTGGAAGGGATCGTCAGGGTTAATCTTCGTTTTCAGCTCCGTCCGCTTGATCATATCATCCTCCGGCAGCGCCTCAATCGTCACCCGAAGATCATCCACCGGACTGATATCCTCAACGAGGTACTTTTCTCTGCATAAATAAGATAGGGCTACTTAAATTCGATAAATCACTGAATAGCTCACGCCAATTTGTTGAATTAAGTAGCCAATAAAATTCATATCTAGAATGATAGCTTTAAAATACAAGCTACAACTGTTTCTTCCAGGTATCATATACTATTTTTATGCACCTTTCACAAACAATTTTTATTCTATCCACATAATGAAAAGTAAACTCAAATCGGATTCGATAACACTTGTGATAAACATTTGCATTCAGAAACACTGATCGCGGGGAAAAACAAGCGAATAAATAAATGAATAGTAATGAAACAGTAGTGTAGATTATCTAGGACTTTAGCTGACCCACCCTTTCCTCTTCGCGACCAGGAGAATATCGGTGAATAAGAAGAGTGTGATTTGAATAGGCTTGTTTTTAATAGTCTCAGAAAATTTCCGTCTAAAGGCCGCATTCGGCAAGTTGGATGATTCCAGTAGCCGCAAATTCCCTTCTTTAACCAGCTCTCGACTGCCTGTACCAACGGCCTTTAAAGGGAGGCGATTACGATAGAAATAAACACTTTTACTTAAACATTTAAGTACAACTAAATATTACTCTGAGATTGCTCTTAAACTCCAATTGGCTCGACAAGGTGACGAGACGCTCCTTCTGCTCCATGTGACCCTTTTGTGAGTTGCATTCTGCAATTAGCTAAACAGACAAGGAGACTAATGTAACATAATGTAAAAACAAAATTGGATGAAACATCATCTCATCAAGTATGACAGCGTCGTAGTGTCCGAAACAGTTGAGATGATATTTACCAATGAGTATATTTGGATATGTTCGTGGCGTCAATACAGTCGTTTTTAAAAAAAGTAAAGTAACCTGACTTACGGATAAAATTTACAATACAAGTACCATTATATTCACCCAATAATGTTGCAATAGGAGTCACACTTCTCACCTCGAACAACTATCGCCGTTTCTCAAAACTCACTGCTGGACGGCAAATTGCATAACAGAATATTTACTTAAGACACGAATCAAAACAAAGAATAGGAAAGTGTATTATACCATTAACGAATAATGCTCGTTTATGAGCATGGTTTATTACATTCATTGTTTAAAAATAGCCATTAACTTGATTAGCCCTACAATAATATTATACGAGCCGTATTTCTTTGCATAAAAAACCTGCAAACGGTAATAGATTCCACTAAGTAGATCATTGCTGCTGGTGGAATATAAAACCCAGATATCGCAGAGGAAGAAAAATAAACCAACAAGCAAGCCAAGGGCCAGCATATTGCCAAAAAAAAGTGGGTTGGGGAGCAAAAAGAGGACCTTTTCAAGCGAGGCGAGAGCCACGAGGCCGCTCTCGTAGGCGGACAAGGAGCGCGGGGTGTAGTGGATGACCGCAGCCACGAGGAGGCGCAGCCGCATCACCCGCTGCATCGGGAGCACTAGGAAGGAATTCAGGTCCAGGCCGCTGCATTGCGGCATACTCTGGATGTTTTGAACAGCCTCTTTAAATGATGGACGATTCCTAAATCATAAAGAACACGCCTCTAGGCCAAATACGTATGCATATAAAAACCGATCATGAATTATTTAAGATAATATTTACTAGAGGTCAATTTCAACGCGCCAATGCAAAGCAAAAATACCTAGCGGGCTTTCATTAATGCTGTAGAATTTCGGCTTTGATCCCTTTGAATACGAGACAGTTTCTAGGACAAAAACAACGCATTCACACTTATATGCAGCAGGTTCTACTGCCATTAAAGTTACATCGGATCTGCTAAACAGCAATCGCCACACCAGGTCCAATAGCAACTACTATTCCGTTCAGACACACAGCCTATTATCCCTACAATATCCTAGAAAAAGCAGTGGAATCCCCGGGCATAGTTAAGCGCCTACGGAATATGAGTTTCCGAAAAATACATGGCATTAGATACGCGATTGCAGTAGCAACTGCTAAGGAAACACATTTATCAAAAAAGTATTCACTCTGCGAAGTCTGAAAACGACCATGAAAGATGTTTAATGTCTACCTGATGAAAATCAGTTACCGACAATAGGATTTATTTCTCAAAGTTGAAATTAAAGGACGTAACCAATGAGGCTTTTCGTGATGCATAAGCGTGGACTTTATTTTTTTCGAAATCATAATACGTTACACTTGAAATAATCGCATTTCAGCTAACATAATTAAACAGTGAAAGCTCACTGAAATTCCCAGAAAAGAATACAAACTCACACATGCACATTTAATTGAGTTTCACTACACTGTTACACGTGTAATTCTCTTAGGAAAGTTAAAGCAAGCATGTAAAATGTCCTAATTCTCAAAGAAACTGACTAGATTGCAAAAAAACCAGCCAGGATTAGAACAAATGGTCATAAAAAACCACTAATAATGTTGTTCGTCACTTTACAATTACTTTTAAAGGCATCAGTCGAATTAAAAATATGTCTTTAAAGTTTAAACGTAAACTTACATGAGCTTACTTAGCGTCCGGGTTTGATACATTTGATTTTTTACGTAAGTGACATAGTAAGATAACTTTGTCTCGGAGTGTTCGTAGAGAATATCACAAATGTTACCCATCATCGGGTCTTTACGAAAACTAGTTTCTAATGAATGAAGAAGACTAAAATAAGGAAAAATATTGCAGTAGCCAAGCGTTTACGTAAAAGCTTGAATTTGCTGTAAAGGTTCTTACTTTTCACTTGTAACATGAATATTTAGGATGTTTGAGAATAGCTGATGCTTATCGAATTCCGTGATAACAGCGTTGGCAGCGATTGGATTGAAGACAGGTGCCTTGTAAAAGAGATCAATGAGCACCGTTAAACTCTTGTAGTACGAAGCCTCCGATGTAATTATTTCGAAGCGAGCCTGTGGAAAAAGGACCAAACTTAAAATTAGGGCACGTTACAACTGTCTATACAAGCTCAGGAAGTCATCATAAATCATTTTGCTAGTAATGGCTCCTCTCAAGAAAAAAAAAAAACCTGATGATTGTTAAAAACAAGGGAAAAGAACGAGTTGAAGGTACCTCCTGCAGACTGCGTTGCTCCTTAGTGAGACCAGCTGCCAGATTGAGGCGGACGACCTCGAGCATATCAGACCAGCGAACCCGAGAAGGTCCGGTGCCGGAGAACTCGTTGGCCACGCTGTTCATCTCACCCATCTTGGCGGTGCGTTCCACGTCGGATCGCCTGCGCGACAAGTCGCGCTTGATGACGGTGAAGGAGGAGGCCTTCGCCGAGCTCGGTGTCTTTAACTCATCCTCGTCCCCGCTGGAGGATGAGGAGGAGGACTGATCATCTGGACCGAATTTGGGGGGCGACACGATAGCTTTTGGCTGCCGCAAAGGGCGCTGGTCACCCCTCTTCCTGCGCAGCGATCGAATAGACTCTAGGAAAGCCATTAAGGGTAAAGTAAGGTAACTATTGATCAAACTGTCAAACAGACTACCAGTAAAAGTTAGAGCTCAGCTTATATCATGCGTAGATTTCTCTTTACCTCGGGGCCCGCATAAAGCCACCTTCGGGAGTTTGAGTATGTAAAATATTAATGGTGGAAAGTAAAACAAAATAGGCCTTTTCTATTTTAAAGCAGTGTTAAAAGTTGGGCAAAAGCTTCTTGGAACAGAATCAACCGCAAGGTAATTGGATTATATTTTGTAAAATGTCGTGAAAGAAAATATCATGTGAAAAATACTAAGGTGCAAAACCTCACATGAGCAATGGTATGGGTGACCTAGTTAAGGGTTTCTAATAGGAATAATTTTATACTTGTCTATATTGAAATGCATGAATGATAAAAAATGCAATAAAGCTTACCACGAAGTCGATGATGAAGACGACGAATTTCCTTACGCTTGAAGTGTTCATCATAGATTTGATAGAGTGGCGCATTTCCAAATATCGACTTGAATGACAGCCTATTATCGTACTTTTTTTCAGCATCCTGCAAAAAATCGCAAAAATAAGGCACAAAGGTGTCTTAGACACCATCACTTCTGTATGTCGAATCAATGGATCATCCTAAGAATAAAAAAAACAGACAAATTGAAAAATTGATGCTTTTTAGGTAGCAAGAAAGTGTGGAACATATACGACGACAGAAACAACACTGATTTGATGAAGTCGAAGGGACAATTATAAAATTCTCAGAGTTCCACCAATTTGTCCGGAAAATCACTAGGAGCGCAGGTGCAAGCATTTGATCAGATAGTGTCATAGAAACCTTGAGTGATTTACGAAAAAAACGCATATATCACCTCATTAGGTTTAAAATAATAAAAGTACTGGGACATTTCCAGTCTGTACAAAGCGCTATGATAACAAATGACTCAGCATGCAGAAAATCCATATCACGTAATTAATAAAATATCAACAAGTGTAAAGCTATATTGAAGTAGGGGGCTAAGAAATGTACACAAGAAAGGAGGAGTTTATGAGTGATTCACCCACCTCAAGTCGCAAAATAACTTTCTTTCGGTCTCCATTTCCTTGCAATTCATCCTCCTCGGCTACCAGACTCTTTGCGAAGAATGATTTTGCACTGAATGATCCATTGGTGTAGACACTACCTCTGAAAAAAAAAGGCATTAAACCATAAACCATGCCAGACGCCCGCAAGTGAACTTTAAGTGGCGACCTTGGTTTGCAGCATGAACCCACTAATATTCTGCACCGCTTGACCATGCTCTACATAACTGTGAATTTATTGGAGGTGCTGTGCACACACCCATTGATCAGGGTTTATGGAATGTGAGCATACAGGGTAGATCATTTGCTTGATTTTACGATGAAGCGACGGCAATATCTATTATAAACGACAATACCGAAATCGGTTATTGTGAATAAAAATTCAATGGGAGTTCTGTCAAGTGTTTTGCTCGATGAAGCAAAGTTACCCGAGTCTCCCCAAGGGAAGACGCTCATCTGGTCCAGACAACAATCGGCAAATAAGCTAATCTCAAGCCCTTGCATCAAGTACAACCTTTAAGACCTTAAATCCATTAGAAACGACTCTTATCAGCTAATTCCACCCAGACTGAAGACAGACTTGCAATGGCTCACCCAACTGAGGGTCGCTGGAATAAAATCGGAGGTCTGCCCGGATGTCTTTCACTGACTTCCTCAAAGTGTTTTCGTCGTTCCTCAACACTCGCACAAGGTTCATTGACTGTGTAAACCGAAAACCCCTCAAATGAGGATTACCAAAACCTGGTCATTTAATAAAATGCACACAATAACCACAGGTGGAAAGGGAAATGAAAAGTTCCCTAAGGGTTTGCCAATATGGCATAATAAAACAGTGCTAAAAGACGCTGCGGTCTTGGAAGCCACCCAAAATAACCTTGGAATGTTTTTTTTTTTCGTTTTTATTTATTTCGTAACGAAACTGCGTACCTCAATCACCATGATGATACAGAAATAGGATATTTTTGGGTACCAGGTGGTACTACTGAAATTTAAAACAGAAGGCGCAAATGAACAGGGATGCTCAAAGAAAAAGTTTATACCAAATTTACAAAGTAGTCTCCTAGAAGGCCGCATTTCAATTGTTGTCTATTTATTGTGTAGGTCAAGTAGAGGTAAAATTTGATTTCTATCTTTGTTCTAAGCAGCTGGCTATCTGCTACTGGGTTCAAAAAATTTGATAATCGTGGCAAATATTTTGTTATTCATGTACAGTCATTCCGGGGACGTATAAGCTCGTTGCCAGATAAAACAAGTTTAATCAGTATGAGAAGGGGGAAGACAATTGTACTTAATTTACATAAGTATATAGTGCGACTCACAATAATTTGGAAGGGAGGGTCGACTGGGCAGGCTGAAATAAGAGGGCGAGTAGTCATGCCAAAGTACAAAGCCATCAAAAAACTGCGCCCAGTTAAATACACAGATCAAAGTTTAGTCAAAGTCAAGGAGAGCATGGTGTGTCTACCCAATTGCAGAATATCAGTAAAGACGTTTTATTGCACGCTGAGTGCTTTAATGTGTGCTTAAATATGCTCGCATGTGTGCGAAAGGAATAGAAGCAGAATTTGGGATACATTGGGAAGGGGAGAAACAGCTATGGATTGTATCAAGACGGTACTTATTTCTGAAAATGTGCAGCATAATCACACATTGTTCCACGGAATATACGCCATATATTGTTTTCGTCAAGGGCCATTGCAAGGAGTGTTCTTTAATAGGTTGGAATTGCAACTTCTTGAAAGAATATTTTATCAAAGGACGTGGCCACTTAACTTAACATCGGAAGAGGTTAATTAGAAAATGAGGCTAGAACACCTATGCTTTCATTTAGCTAATGCCAGCCCCAAGTCATTTGCTTATGGCTATTTTTGGCTGATTGAAAAGTGAGAGGTAAATTAGAGCTACAGTAAAAAACGATATAAACAAGTCTCCGTTCAATTTTAAGAGAATTTTATTCGGTAGCATCCAAGCGAATCTCAGGAGGTGCGGGTGAACTATTGATAAGTCTAATTGGTAACAAGATACTATAACTAATATAGACTAACCACATGGACCAGCACAACTATTCTTTACCTAAATACATGGAATTGTACAAATATTTGGATAAGAAAACAACTTAGGTGGTCTTAATACCTAAGGAGTAGACATTTTCACCGCCAGCGGCTTCCTAGTTGAGTAGGAACGTGACCAATTAGGCATTCTATTCCTAAAATTGAGTACTACAACGTCAGTCATCCCAGCGATTATTGGTTACCGTGACAATATACTTTGTCGGAATTGCATATGCTTGTAGATGTTTTCATAAACATCGCAAGATTACCTGCATAGGCAACTAAATATGATATGAAAAATCCTATTAGTAGTATTGTTGAATAGACATAGCAAGCTATGGTACTATACAATTGTTGATTCATGCAGAAACCTAAAACTTCAAAAAACAGTTAAAGAAATTCGCATATAAAATGGGGAATAATTTTTGAATAAGGATGTTGATGAAAATTTCTGTGGATAGAGCATGCTCCCAATTACAAGTCTGCAAATTTGCAAGCAGATTCAAATTGTAAGCTACTCCTTGCTTCCTGAAGATCGCATTATAAAAGAGTCGTGTTTGATTTGGCTTGCACACAGACCTCACAAGAAGCCTATCTTCCGATGGCGAAACCACCAGTGGTGCTTCCGTGGTTAAGCTTATATCACCCAACACCTTAGGCTCCACATTCAACACAAGTGTAACATTTCATCAATGTGAGTATAGAAAGTATAGGATCTTTTGAAATAAACTAATGAGTGAGGTGTGTGTTCGACTTCCATGCATTCGTAAAGAGTTGGATAATCCAAAATAATTGATAGAGGACCACTTACACCTGACCATTGGCATGCAAACAAACTGCACACTGAATAGCAAATTAAGCACCGAACGATGCATACGCGCGTGTGAGTTTGCATGCATGCCTGTGGTCAAAAGGAGGGCTTGGAGTAGGCAGGAGGTCACATAGGTGCAAGCGTTTTGGTACATTCTGCACATACTTTGAGTGACGAGAAATGTATGATGCGGACGCGTTTCGTTCTTGAGGAAACAATAGTATGAATCGATGCCGATCTGTATTTTCCTTGGCCGCAATTATTGCTACAAAATCGTAGACGCGGAAGGTAGGGTGACTCCATTAACCTCACAAGTGCTGCATTCAAGTACTGATGAAAATTTTTGCCGAAACCTCAGAAGCGCTAGTGACTGAAGGCTGGAACTGTAAAGTTATTTCACTGGGTTGAAACAGATGGGATAATTTTGTTTGTGGGTATAGGATTATAAAAATAATAAAACTAACCAATTACAACTACGAAACGACAACTGGAAGACCGCATTTCCTAAATAAGCAATTGGGCAATAATAGATCTTATCAAGCCAAGTGAAATGGTAAAACAACACTTAATGCTAGGATGTTTAGTCGTTTACTTTTACATATACCATACTATTCACAATTCAGTCTTGGGTTAGTACAAATTTAACAAAATCACATAGCTTCGCTTGAGAAAGTTTATACAGATACCCACAGATGAATCATGCTAAAAAGGTTATGACACTTTAAACTCATCACAGATACGTGGAATGCGATTACCAACGGCCGCATCATCATAGATTGTGTCTGTATTACTCAACTACTACCATAGGGTGAGTTGGTAATTCAAGATAAAATCGTGTTAGAGCAAGTGTTTAACGAACACCATGAGTTCAGACACACGGTGGCGCACGAAAGTAGGAGAAAAGTGGCGAAACTGGAGCGCACATAGATGATTGCCAGCTCGGAGTGTCATGACTTTGTGGTGGTGTTTTCTCGACCCAGAACTTTGCTTATGCTGCAGAAAATCCACGCCACACTAGTGCCAGACTTGAGTCGGCACACGAAATTTGTTGTTATCAGAGGTGCAAGAAACGCGCTTTTGCTAAAGCCAATCAGGAATGCATCGAGGCCTCATTTTACACACAAGCGGAGTTCACTTGCCCATCAACTATCCTAATCTGACCCAAAATAAGCTCTGTCGAATTTCGCCTCTAAGTTGCCAGAGTATGTGAAAACATACAGATCAAATTTTCAGTTTTGGAGATATTTTAAAAATCCAACACGTCGTCTGTGATATTTCAAATCGTGAATACGAAGAAGTTAGTCTCAAAATAGCAGTTGTGGCGATAGTTGAAATATGTAAAAGCTAAAAAAATTAAAAGGATAAGTATGAAATCCTTTTGAATGACTGGCCATTTCATGACCTCACTACAGTGAGCTTATTTACATGCCATAAAGGGGAAATAAGTTACTTCTAGGGACATTCCATTAGAGTAAACAGTAGTGTTAAATGGAAATAATATCCGTGTATTAAAATGAGGTATGCAACTACGATGCGTGTAAGGACTTTTGCGACCAAAATGTATCTACCAATAATGACAGGTGAATAAGCTGAATTCAACGGTAAATTACGAAGACTTCAAAAAGTCACAAGTAGACGACTATGCGTGCTGCCGATTCTAAATTTGAGAGGTTTAGTCTTCGTATCGGGGACGTATTGAGGTATCAGTGACCTTACCTAATTGCATATGGTGACATAGTTGATGATTAATGTGATTACACCTGAAGTAAGCACATGTAGCTATAATCCCACGCACGCGAACTGAGGGTATTGGGAGCAGGCAAAATAAGTCACAAGGTTGCACAATCTACCACACAAAGAAATGAAGATGCTATCTTTGCAGCATGACGGTCTAAGCGATCAATCTAGAGAATCAGGATTTTGGAAGGAGATAAATGAATAAGAATGTTATGTAGGCATTGTATTACTAATTAAATTTGGATGGACTTATTCATTACTATATCTGCAATAATTGCAAGTATCACCCATTTTTTTACGCTAATAGAACACAATGAAACAAGCGAAACGTGAGACAACGGCAGCGAGAGCAGTCAGTGTATCATTTATTACTTAAAAGAAGGCTTTAAGACAAATGGACTCATCTAAATAGCCTAAGATAGAGTTGTCAAACGACGACCTTGGCTGCTGTTTTTACCTTTTCAGGGTGCGTACCATTAACTGTGCTAGCACAACAGAGTAGATGAGAATAAGTCGAATAGACTGTAACGTCGGCACGGTCTGTGCGCGCAAAACAACTAACCTCAGGCCCACAGCTGCAGACCACCGAGGTGCAAAGTCAAGTGTGATGCAGGCACTTAGAGTCCTGCACTGCTGGTCGGTCAACATGGCCTCTCTCTGCAACTAGCCCATAAAGTGTTCGTCATAATATTTGGTGAAGCATTCTAAAGCTCTTCATAACGCACTTTGATAAAGTCACGTTTCATGTCACCTTATGCGAAACATTAAAGCGGAAATTTTTAAGATAACTTCGGTCCAATATTTTCGGTACCAAGATTACATAGGAAGGAGGTCTTAATTCCCTTGCCTGAGTTTGACACCATACCTGTGTGATAAGCAGTCCTTAGCACTTAATAATGATTAGACTCGTATAATTAGGTTGTATAAAGATTGATTAAGTTCTAAACAAAATCAAGGGGAATTCATCCAAAAGTACAATGCTAAACCATTGATTCACACTTGGTTAACGGAGCATATAATTTTATTTGAATAGCCAAAAGTACCAAAAGGACTAATAATATGAGCTTATTAAAATTGTAGCTATTCTGTGTGATATCTTTTTAAGTTTATATGTAAAAAACTGGCTTATAAAACTTGCAGTGAGAAAGCCAAAGTCTGAAAAATCCCAGAGCCCACTAAGGGTTCCAAACTAATATAGAGATAGAAAGTTAATGGTCACATTATTGTGGCCATTAAATAATTTGGACACAAAACTTTAATTCAAGGGATCGCCAGATCTTAGTCAATCCAAAAAAAGCAGTTAATAACACTTACTTAGAGGGATCTGCAATATCACTTGGCAAATTGTTAGAAGGTTGTCTGAATGGTCGAAGTGGTTCACCAGAGGTCTTGTGTATAAACTGCGAGTCATCCTCGGTCCCACAGCCGCAGCACAAAAAGTAAAACAATCCCTTTTTCTTTGGCCGTTTTTTTCCACAAGAGATATGTACAACCATTTTTAAAAATTTTGTTGCAAAGTGTAAGGGTGATTTTTAACAAACTGTAACGATTGCCTTCCGCATTCACTAAATAAACAGTAGACAAAATGGGAAGTAAGAACACAGAAAACTAAAAAAATAGCAACACAATAAAGTTAAGTGCTAAAAACTTTTGTAACAAAAATTAAGCGCCTTAAAATTGCACAGATTTTACAAACACGATACAATTTCGTGGTTATGATAAGCATTGTAAGAATGTCTAAAAGAATGGATTCCTGAAGCAAACACACGTATAACTTTTAACGCCAAAGCATTTTTTTAAAAAAAGCGTGTAATAAATGCAAATTGATACAAGACAAGCTCCTAGAACCCTACTAATGCAAAGTGAACCAGTTAGTCCCAGGCTTGGTTAAAATTATTCTTGAGGTTAATGCCATAACATGATTACAAACGGCTAAAACAAAAGGGCATTATTCACAGTTAGCAAAATTCTTTCCTTACACCAATCCTTTTGTTCAGAATGCGACAACCTATAACCTCCTACACTTTCGTCTGGCAATCAAATAACCTCGACTTCTGTCGCCAATTTGACCCAAAGATCTAGCCATTAAAACAAAGTAGATACATTATTGTTAGGACCTTGGGAAATTAAGACAGCATGTCTGAACAAACAAGCCGCTAAAAACCTGGGAAAAAAAGTTGCTGCAGAAGATTTCTTTGCCTTGATATTCAAATGCACGTTTTCAAATTTGGTGAAAATATTTTCTAGTTTAATGCAGATTTAGCAATTTGGTTTACCAGATTTGCCATTTTACGTCTTTGCATTCAATGTCACAAACCCTTAGGTTATCTAGGTCATGCGGGAATTAGTAAAATCGACATTAATGGCTTTGATGATAGTACAACCTCCCGAGATTTCCCTGAAGACGAAAGAAGACATAATGCTCGGGCAGAATATATGTATTCAGCATAGAAAGGTGTTTGAGCTGCTAGCATAGCCAGAAGGTCAGCCCGCTCAGAGGGGTACAAGAAGGCAATTTCGAAGTCCAAATGTGGCTCCTCAGCAATACCGAGGGATACACCACCATCATATTACAACAGCACTTTACTAGGGACAGACACGCTTAAGCAAAATTATATGGACCTAGTGTACATGTCATTAGTAAGGTACATCAAAGCTTATAATGCTCTTTTGTCTATTTGTTGGCACTGACATTATTACCACGAAATGCTACGACTTTTGTGTATTTTGTGAATCTGTCTTTGAAGTAAATGCACGTCTTTACTGCTTTAATCGAATGATGAAACATCTGAGTTTTTGCCTTTTAAATACTTATAAAAAAACATCTAACTTTGCTGCCTGTCCTTTGTTGAGCAGTCGCGAGTTAACTATCTCCTTCACCCTATTCTGTTGCAGCAACTTGAGTCACTTGAGTTGGATCTTGCAGATCACTAAGAATACCAACAGCTTGTACTGCTTGCACTTCCATGAATTATTCTGTCTGACGCGCGATTCTTCATCATGATGGCGCGTTTACGATTGACTTCAAGGACATACTTTGTTGTCTTCTGCTACGATTTAGTAAATGCGACGGACAGTTGATGCGGCTTGTATCCTTGTGCATAAAAACATCCATACATACGTACATATAAGTATGTAAATATCGAATAGATGCGGCTTCCTTTTGATCTACTACTGCATAGCAACCTAAATCGAATCCCCTTTAGGTGAAACTGCACGAAACGACATAAACCTAACACTGGCAATTAAATATTTAGGACCAACCATTAGTGCATCATAACAACAAATTTTGAATGATTACCTAATGCAAGTGACCATCCAGACAAACGAGCACTAGTGACTCAAACATATTTGCCAAAATTTTTGCAGAAGCCGATTACAAATGCAAAATTAGGGTAGGTTTGGGACTTGCACTAATGGTATCATTTGGGACGTTTCCACTATCAATGCTTATAAAACGATAAAATAGCCATAGTCAAAAATTTTTTGCATGAGGTTAGTCGATACTTCCAAAGTCTCCCCTTTTGGAGAACAGTATCCTACTAGTTGATCGCTTTGCGAACACAACCATGCAAAATTTTAGTTTTTGTGGATGCTACGCTGTGTTACGCCTATCAGAACTGGAACATTATTGGAAGTCAGATCAGATTGACAAAACTTATCTCAACAGATTCTCCTACTGCCTCCACTAAGACCAGTTAAATATCTCCTCAGAACTATCAATTACGTCTTCATGCCATAGTATTGCATATCATGTGTAACGAGATGCATTTGCTCGCATAGCCAGTCAAGGTTCAAACTCAAACACAAACAAATGAAATAAGTGGGTCACCAAAAGGACTTTTAGTGGCTATTTTAGGACAATTCGTACCTGTGACTTATATTGCAGGTAGATTGATTTATATCATGGAGCCTCTCAAAAAACACTAAAGTTCGAAAATCTTTGACAACTACAATTCTTAAGCGAAATTCTGGATTCAAAATAAGACTTTTATTTAATGTCTTATTTATTTTTTAAAGATTAAAGGAGTTACGACTCTTGTTTTGCTTCAAAGGCTGCTGTGCTGTTAATTGTAAGGTCCTCAGCGTTAGGCTAAAGACATGGTTCTACTAGCTTAAACATACGACAGAGTAGAACACGGAATCAGTTAACAGAACAATCTTGGTGAAAATCCATGGTTTTTGGTTCGCCGTGGTTCTGATGATACTGTGATTACACGAAGGCAAACAGAGAGTCAACTACACAGGACAGCGATGATGATAGCAGGTACGGTTATGCGAGTGCTGTATAGTAATTAGAAGTGGTGAAGCAGCCCCGATGTGAGCGCTACTTGGTGAAGGAAACAATAGTAATTTTGAAATTAATGGCAAAGAAGAAGTGGGCAAAATTTAGCAAAACCATACAAAGTGAGTGTCAGTTGACGTTCGTAATTTGTACTCATCGCGAAAATAATTATTGACTCCATTTGCTTCCTTTTATAGAATCGTCAGTGTGTAGGAGCAACATAGCGTCATCTCATTTCAGTAGGTACCCATGACAGACAAGGTGGATCGTAGTTTCAAATTGCTGTTAAATGTTTTTGCAGTGCTTAAAGATAACATTTCGGTTAACAGAAATAGTTTTTAGGAAGGAATTCCATCGCATTTTTTTGCTGTGCAAACGGGTCTGTCAAATGGTCAGAGACTAAACATGCGATTCGCATGATGTTGACCCAATCATTGAGATAAGCGCTTTTCCGGGCAAAAGGGGGAAAAATGCAAAAATAATATATAAATATAGATACGATAAAAGCATACCATCTCTTTAGGAATATTAACAGATTTCACCTTTCTCCTTATTAACATTTCGGTTTATAAGTAAACTCAAGCAATTCTCAATGCCTCTATACGATTGCTATAAAACTAGATTTTGCGCAATATCTAAAATATAAAGGCAATTCCTATAAGACAATGGTGAGTTTACATGAAAATCACTTAATACTGGACAAATATTAGTTGTGAAATATCCCAAATTCACATTATCTTTAAGTGATTCACCAAATTTTTTGGAGCATTCCGAAAAATGGGAAATTTGACTGAATGACCACACAAGAGCTAAATTGACTCGTATTCCTCCTCAAGCAAAAAGGGAAGCTGATTGAACAAATTTCATTACAGAAGTAAATTCAATCAAAGCAAAGTTGGTTATTTCAATTTATGGGGATTTTTGCTACGTTATAAGCCGAAACGTTAAAAAGTACTGTCAAAATAATGAAGCAAAGCATATTCCAACACTTCGCATATAAATACGAGTGAGACCACCTAAGAATTCTAAATTTTTTGGATTGTTAGGGAAATGGAAGGTGAGAACTTTCTTAATAAATTTGAAAAATGCCACCCATTACAATTCAACTATGTTAGTAATTGAGAATCCCCCCGCCAAAACACGTATCACCCTACTGTTTTCTGTTAATATAAGCTCTTAAAGAGCATATACCTGATATGGACAGAGAACAATTAGAATCAAATAGCATTGGCTATCAATAGAGGACACATTTACAACCTTATGTATCTGTATTCTCAGTGGAGTGTCAATGGGTGCAGCTTAAGGCAATCGTGTGAATATAATTGAATGAGAAGAGTAGAAACCTCGGTGTTCCTCATAATAACCATGTTTTAACGAA